GAAATATATCAGTGGACTTCCAGGATTTTCATTTTTGCATTATTATTTTTCTATTTGGCAGTAGCTCTGGGCTCTCAGTGGTTTTTAATACTCTGTTTTGGTCTTCCACAGGTCTGAAGTTCAATACTCATTTTGAAATTTGATCGATTATATCATATTATTATGTTACAATAGAACCTCACCACAACAACCAGAATAAAAGCACATCAATGCCCAGGATGTAGCATCTGTAAGATTTAGGGGGGGAAAAAAAGGCCTAGGTTTGTTTGAAGTAATTGAAAAAACATTTAGTTTGCTGTATGAATCCCAAGGTTGTTGCTTGTCCATGAAAAAAGGAAAAATTATACACAGAGTACACCAAAACACTTAGTAAAAATGAAGGAGATGGGCTGTCATCCAGTGCAGTGAGTTATGTGTGATTTATCTTTGTTTTTAGTCGCAACAGTGAAAGTCATGTTTCATTTATTGTTAACATGAAAGTGTAATATTTATTACCATCTTGTAAAGCTCTACCTTTCTGATTAAACTGCACTTCGAATGATGATTCATGATTCTACAGTACTGAGATTTACAAGTACATCACAGCTATTTAAAGCCTCCAACACCGCACTGCAACGTTCCTGACTGTCTCCTGTTTACAGTCTTATAGCACCATTAGGTGGTAGCTGGTTGTTATTGCATATAATGGACATATTTGTTTAATCCCTGTGAAGTTCAGCATTGCTTCTTGCTAATTATGATTTCATTGACTAATAAAAGCAAAATAGGAGAAGCTTCCCTATTCTTTATCATGATGTGAGGACTATAAATGTTACAGGAGTTACAGTGTTTTACCTTTCAGGAAATTTAAATACCACTTTAATTTGTGAAATACATTGAAGCATTGGTGTACACATTTCTACACAGGGACACAACTGTCATCTTGATTTGCATTTTTACAGTTTCATCCTATTTAGGAATGAGATTTTGGTTAGATTTAATCAAAATAGAATTATGTGGTTGGAAAAACATGCAGTTGAATTAACATTTTTAGTGCTAAAAGATCTCAACATTAATATTTTCTTTGCAAAATCACAAGTACAGGAATGTTGTAAATGTCCCTGAAGCGCCCTGTGTTTTGCAGCCACATACCATCTGGCCAAACTCCAAAGGAGACCATACCCACCTGTCTTTGCCCTTGATGATGACTTGCACTTCCCTCAGCAGAGAGAAAAAAAAACTAATTGGGACTCTGCCAATGCTGCTGTGTCCAACATGCAGTCTAAGGCCATCTCAAAAATAATAACAGAGGCTGTGAGAGCTGCAACCAAGGACAAGTTGGAGGTTTTCTTGAAATATTTGTTGTTAGCTAAAAGTCATACAACTCAAATATCGATTTCTTTTTGGACAAACATTTGATTTATTAGCAGTTTTTGGCCTTAAATTATACGCAACTTAGGCAACAAAGAAAAGGGTGATGTGCACCAAATCATGTCGAAACCAGGTATGGATCCTCAGAGCAGTGCAACAAGAACTGTGGCCTTGAAAAAATGTCTCTAAAAAGCTTTTAGGATTGCATACACGCAAAAGTAAAGATAATACACATTTACTGAAACTGGACACACAATAAGCAAAATAACTTAAAAACTACATACACTGTATGTCTGCCTAACAAACTTTTTTTTTAATGATCAATTTAGAGTTAAAAATTATGTATTTTTTTCTATGTTTAAGAATTTTTTTTATCGTAACTTTATTCAATTATTACAATTTTCTTGTCTTCATTTTCACTCGTTAGTTTGAGTTGATTGTAAATTAAGTGCATGTTAAATGTGAAGTGTTCTTTATGATTACGGTAATTGTCCCCAAGTCCAAATTTTAGGCTGGAAAAGTAAAGGATTTATGATTAGATAAATATGTTTTCAAAAATGTAAAACACTTGTGGTTTCATGAGAGGAAGTTTCTCTGTTTTTTCCTTTTTCACTTATTCTACACTTACTCTATCAGTGTCAAAACCTTTTTATGACATACTACTTACTATCACTACTGTCTTGCACTTACACTCTTTAAACAGTAGGCGTCAGCAGAGTTCCATCTTGCCACACAGGACAAACAATGCAGAGCTTCAGTCAGGGTAACTGAAACAAAAAGGCTTTCCTAATGAAAATATGGGTGACGTTTGTTCGGGTAAAACGCCTTTATAAAGAAAATTATGTTTCTCGCTTACAGTATTCTGCTTTCCTCTGCAACATCCATAAGGTGTTATTTTCTGTCACTCCCTTGAATTCATGTGACTTTTTATAACAAGAGATTTAAGTGAACAACTCCAGTATGAGAATAAACTCATAATCCAAAAAAGAAATGTCCTGTTAGCTCGATAATACAACGCTCAGCAGGTAAGATATAATGAGGGCACCAATGCAGATACACATTGAAGCAATCGAGTCTGCTCAGCAGTTCAGCTCCTGCACCAAAGGACGAAAGGGAGGTTTATTTTTAGAAATACGTTGACTAACAACGGTAATCCCTGCAAAAGGAAACGACAAATGCAAAAATAGTGAGAAATATACCCTTCATGGCCAATTGAACAAATTGATGTTGATTCAAGTTGAGCAGAGATGCAAAAGTCTCCAAAAAATTAATTTTACTGGAATATTTGGTCAAATATTAGACATGCATCCACCCCTTACCCATCTCCAGTCTGTGGTTTTATACTGCTTTTGTTCAGGATGGTGTATCGGCCATGTGCAGTGACTTTTACCCAGCAATCAGCAGAAGCTACAGGAGGTATTTTCTTCCAATCTGATAGATGACCCCCACTAAACCCCCAAATCTGTTTTCTCTCTGTTAGTTGAAAACTAATGTAATGTAAATTCTTAGCTAGCATATTAACTTTTAGATTAAAGCAGGCTGGTTGTTGTCTTCTGTTTTCATCTTCGTACCAACTGAATGTGTCCTGGCTTTAGCTTCATGCTGCTCAGATGGACAAGAGAGTCAAAATGATCTTCTCAAAAAATCAAAGCAACACATTTTAAAAACCAGAAAGTGTTTAAAAACTCTTAAATATATTCTTAGGATGACTCCTTCACATTTGTATGGATCATAAGAAATTGATTGGTACACCTACTTTGTATTCCAGAGAAGAAAATGGCAGCAGATAAAGGCACAGAAATCTTTGTGCCCTTTTTGAATTTCATGCTGTGCATGACTGCTCCTCCATTAGGAACCACTGATGATTAAAGTGGGGCATGCTAGGCCCACTCTGTGAGAAACAAAGTGCCTGGAGGAAGGGGGAACCATGGCAGACACCCAAAAATGATCTCAGAGTCACCCCTGTGGAAGCCAAGACGCCCCAGTACTGCAGACCAGCTTCCTGTCAAGTAGAAGAATAATGCAAACTTTCTCTCTTTCCATCTGAAATGCTGATGAGGAGACGAGCCAACGCTGCAATTCTGCATTGCTTATAATACGGTCTCCTTTTTCATTGTCAAAGCCCTTTCAGCTAGCAGCTGATGATAGTGCGGTGTGCATATTTATCAGCTTTTAAACCCAGTTGTTGGATTAATCCTTGTACCTCCTCATCATCACACCTCCCAACAGTATTCAAGTGTTTGCAGAATAAAAATATTAAGTGTTGGCTACCACTAAAAAAAAACAACTCTGGATCAAACCCCAGATCTCTACTCTGAAACTGCAGCATCCCTCCTCTCATCCTGCCAGGAAATTCTCCGACCTCTGTGGCTTGGATTACCTGGCACGGCCTGAGGGAGCAGCTCGAGAGCACTTGAGGACAAGCCTTACGCCGCTCTCGATCAATGCTCATCGACTGTGCCTTTTTTTCTTCTTTACAGGTGTTAAATTACAGTAAATGTGTTTGCTTTGCAGAAGTTTGGCTAATTGCAACGACAAATACCTTGTTCCATAGATAAGAAGGTAAATATGAGATGGAGATAGAGATCCTCTTCACATGCCCAAACTGAAGTATGACCCTGAAGGTGCATCTCAGATGAATTCTCACTCTGTGTCATCCTGCAGCAAAATGCAACATGACATGACAGGATGGGACAATGCAACACAGAGTGAAAAGCATGAGAAGGTGTAGATTAATGGGGAAAGATGGAAATGTGATGATCCGATAAGAAGTATTTCTTTACCTTAACAGAAGGTCATGTGTCATGTAGCAGGAAAGAAATTATTATTATTTTTTTTAAATCTACTGTAGTTAACCTTATTTTATTACATGGCAGGAGATAAACTGCTTACTGAGGCCATAAATAATTTAAGTCTGTTTTAATTTGTTTCAGTAAAGACACATTCTGTTATTTATGGTAGACTGATTACGCTCACTGTACTGAAAATTATCTTTATGATCCTCGACACGATTTATGATTATAAGTGTGGTTAAACTTAACTATTTATTGTCTATATATATAATGCTTAAAAAAAATTATATATATAATTTTCCAGACTTCACACTTGTTTTTTTACCCATAAATGAAAATTTCAAACATTTTATGTGTTGATGAATTGCTTTATTGTTTGTTTTTCTTTTTAAAATGTTTTACCTCTAATTATACTCATCTGTTGCCTGTATTTACCATTATTATTGTTTTTATAATAATAATAATAATTATTATTATTATTTTCTTTGTTGTATCTAGTCTGCTATACTCTGAAATCTTACAGTAAGAGTTTGAGTGAACCAGAACAGTAAAATTATATTATATATTTGATTATAATATAATATATTGTAATTATTATATTATAAATAAAGTCAAAGTGTGGATGGAACCTTGTTTGTAAGTCCCTGGAGTCTTGTTTGGAGCAGCTCTTTCAAAGCTTCCCTTTTTAATCCTGACAGCTCTTCAGCTCACTCTATCTGAAGACCCCATCCCTCTTCGAGGATGCAGTCTCAGTGTTGTGCTTCGACAGATTCCTATCAGCTGAAGTAAAAACTTCTTCAGGGGCAGCAGTGATGATGAATATGAAGCACTTCAACTGTGTGTCATAAAGGTTAGTTTGGTTGATGTCTCAGAAAACTGGAGTCTGAACGTAGATGATCTGCATGAGTCTGTTTGGGGTCATTAAGTTTGCTAACAGCAGGGGGGAGGGAGGACTCAGAGGTAGACGTGATTTAATTTTTGATTCTTTTTCTGCCTGCTGCAGATTTTCTTTAATAGATAAACAACTACAAAACTGTGTGCATTTCTTGGTCTTTTGTTTTATGCATGTGCATATTCATAAAGATTATAACAGGTCTTAACACAGAGTGAGCAGGAAGGAGTCTTACTTCTGTGAGTTTTATAAAAACATATTAATAGACTTGACATACTCAATAAACTGTGGATATAGAGCTTTTTCCGATTTTAGGCCAGTGCAGCTTTGAGTGCCTCTAAAAACTCCCTTCACTGTCCCTTTGCCCCATCTCTGCCTCACTGCAGAGACACAGAGGTAGAGAGACTGAGAGAGGCAAGGGTGCTCAGATCAGGAGAGGGAGGGGGCAGAGTTTTTGGAAACGGGGAAGCGAGCTGCACTGCAGCAACTGGGCGTTGGCTCTGCCCGAGGAAGAGAGGCAGGAAAGGCAGAGGAGAGGGATACAGACAGAGGTGCAGATGGGGTATGTTAAATATCTTGTAAGCAGACTCTGGCTTAATTATACAAAAAAATGAAACTATGAAGACAGAAACATCTGTATCTATCTTTTTAAAAGCAATTTATCATCCGAGGGGTCAACATTTGTCAATGGCAGGCTTAGAGTTGGGGTTTATTTGAGGTCAAAAGTTCAGTGGGATAGAGTGATTGGCTCTATTTAGTTAAATTGGCAACTTTTGCATTACTTTAACATATTTGTAATGTGCATTTTATTATCAGAGAGATTTTAATTTGAAATTCTTCCTTAGGTTTAAGAGTTTGCAGAGACAACAAACACATGAGGCTGGAGGGGGTGGTGGTGAGATGGTGCAGATGATTCAAACTTCTGTTCAGCCTGAAGCTTTCCCTTTTTTTCTCTCTAAATTTCAAAAATGGTTTCATTTGATACTGAATCACAGTATCACATATCCACCTGTTGCAGCAGCTGGTCTGCTGTGTCTCTGCTGCACGTCTGCGTTCAGAAACTCTACGATGACTTGACTGGATATCACTTCTTCCTATATGCTCGCATATTCTGATGATGCCCCAAAATTAATGCACCCTGGATTCATATTTCATCCAGTGTATGCCTGAGTGCATTAGCTGGGTCAAATGAGGACATGTCCTCAGCACACACACACATTCGCACTCACACACTCTCACAAACACACACACGCAGAGAGCTGGAAATTTCAGCCAGCTGTCGTATTGTAATTTATAAAGCTGTAAAGTGAAGTGGCTCCCTTATTGCCCAACCCACCTTTAAGCGGAGCATCACCACGTTCAATGCTTTCCCACTTTATTTGCCTTCCCCTCATGTCCACCATGCTCCACTCCATTCATCTATTTTTGTTTCTTCCTCTTTTAACTCACTTCTGTCCATCTACCCCTCTTTCTGTCCATTTCTTGTCTTTTCCTTCTCCTTTTTTTCTGTCTTCACTCTCTCCTGGCTGTGGAAATGTGCTGTGTCTGCAGGGAGGTTATTTGGTGCAGCAGACGGGGAGTAATTGATAATGGTGCTGCTTTGGCTATCAGGAGAGCTGTGTTTGCTTTTAGGGGGGAATGAGACAGAGACAGAAAGGGGGGGAAACGCAGGTTATTGAGGATAAAGAGGCACAAAGACAGCCTGAATCAAAGGAGGACAGACATTAGAAGAAAAAGACGGATGTTGATAATGTCAGAGAGAGTGAGGATTGTACCAGGAGATGACCAACAGTGTTTAGGATTTGCATTATCTACTCTTGTTTGGCTCCTTTGTTTAATCATTTCCACTGTTACTTTGACAACATTTCAGTTGCTGCATGCCTGGAGTGCATTTCTCATCAATCATGTATTTGTTTGTCACTCAACCATCTGTTGTTTTATGGGTTGAATAATTAACTGGGTTTTGTTAATTATGTTAAACATGATCATTATGTCCTCCTTAGTTGTGTTTTCAACTTAGTGGGATATGAAAGCTGAAACTAGACCTTTAAATTATGCGTAATATCAAATATTAAGTTGCATTAGATATTTTATTTTTTTAATGAGGCCTCTATTTAGACTTTAATGTAAAATATTTACAAGGTTTTGATTATGTTCAAGAACAGCTTTGTTAATGAATTAGCTTTAGTAAGAATAGGCAGAATAGGCTAGTTAAAATAAAGCCCTTCATTGCCCCCTTACAACAGAAATCAAGATGCTACAGAAGATGTTCGCCACCAGTGTCCTTTGGTTGCTCTTTCAGTGGTCAAAATGTAAACAAATTAACCTCACATTGCTCTATTAGTGGACTAAATGTTAATAAAGGGCCATCTGAATGTTCTTTCAGTGGTTAGAATGTAAACAAAATGACCTCACATTGCTCTATGAGAAGGTAAAATGTAAACAAAGTGCCCACTGGTTGCTCTCTTAGTGGATTAAACATAAAGTACCCTCTGGTTGCTTTTTAAGATGGCTAAATGTAAGCAAAGGGCCCTCTGGTACTATTTTGGAGTGTACGAATTGATGGAGACCTGGTGACCATTTTTGCTGCAATGTGAAAATGTTTCATATATCTATAGGTTTTGAGATTTGTAAGGATTGCAGTTAATTCCATATAATACAAAGTAGTCTACAATCCTTTAAATGACACTGGTCAGAACAGTAAAAACATCAGCTCCATCTTAACACCCAAAGCCCTGATTAGAAAGTTGTAGTTTGTGTTGATTTTGACCCCTTGTGTGGCATGCAGTCTCAGCTGAATCTTTCTGTTCTTGTGGAAATTGAACATTTTAACAAGCAAATATAATCTTGCTCTCTTGAAACAGTCAAATACATCACTATATGATTACATTTTTTGGATCGCTGTCTTGTTTGTTGAGGTTTTTAGCCTCTCTGGTGAAATGCTAGCATAAACAGAGTGAATATCACTCAGACAAACACTGTAACTCTGTCAAATACTCTTGATGCCACTGTGGCTCAATGAAAGTACTCCAGTTCACTTGGAAACCTGTCAGCTATTTTGAAACGAAGTCTTTCCTTGGATAAAGGCAGCGTCAATTTTGTCAGACATTTTGCTCCAAGGAAAATAAGACATTTGAATTCAGCACAAGTCAAAACACAAAGCCTCTTTCTTCAGGATGTGAACTGCTGTTGTTGCAGTTGTTTGTGATTCAGTGTTTTCAGCACTGGTGCTTTTCTGCGTCAGACCTGCTGCTTCACTGAATGTGCAACTGAAATATTGATGAGGGCTCCCAGGCTAAACTCGGGCTCACTGTGGCCTCAGGTTAGACTGTAATTAAAATGATAGACCCACCGAGGTATAGAAACCACTACTATAAGGTATTTACAGCGGGCACAAACTCACTGTACTGCACTATACTGTACTATACTGTACTGTGGATGCACAGTCACATACTCTGGTACTGGCACAAACAGGCCAAATGCACATGTCCTGGAGCAACTTTACGTACATTTATGCATCATATATTCCCTAAAATCTAAATATATTCAGTTTATCAGGACTGAATATTTAGCTCTCTATTTTTAAACTTTTATTTATTTTGCATGCAGAGTGGATCCTCCAAACACCTCAAAAAACATCTGACTTCAAACCTCTTTCCAGTTTCAAAGAGTTCATTCTCAGAAAACAAGGTTTGAGCAGGACAAAAATAACAAAGCTGCACAAAACAAGACAGCCTTATGGGACTCTGCAGAGGAGAGACTTGATGCACATCATTCACGGGGGAACATTTGCCACACCCAAAATGCAAAACACCCAGCCATGTACAGCCCACATCCCCTCACCCCCCTATCTAACTCTCCCTCAACAAAGGATATGAGATATGCTGATGAAGCTGGTAGGGCTCCCATGGCTGAAGACGAAGCATTTTGGCACTTCTGAGACATCAGAGTGAGTCAGGAACTCTGGAGGATGGGGAGGGGTGCGTGAGGAGGGGGTCTGTCAGTCTTTGTTGCTAAGACTGAGTTCCTTTCTCTATTACTCTTAGAAGATCTTTTTAAATAATATATGTGTCTGTTCAAGTTGTCCAAATCGTCAAATATGTGATAGGATTTTTGAGGGTTTTTAAACATTTTGCTGTCGGGGAGCTTCTGCATTAACCGGTCAAAGTGAAAACCACAAGCCCTGAAAACACTTTGCAAAAACTCTGGGGTTTGACTTCCTCTCTGTCCTTTATTTCTAGTCTGCATTCATTGTTGTTGTTGAAATCATTTTAATCCACTTACAGCTCTGCTGAAAGCCAAAAATGGTGGGTCAATAAACCATTGGTCAGAAGAGAAAACATAAATGGATGAGAAAGTCTGAACATTATGTAAACTGCAGAATAAATGTGGATTTGATCAATTTGGCCGTAAACAACACACCCCTGCATAGCTGTCACATGCAGCATCTTTAAAAGTTTGGTTTAGATTGTTTCCTTTTTTGCTCAGGAGGGTCTACTTGTCTCATGAACAGGGCTGAGGCGTGTTTAAGTGTATCTTGAATATGAACTTGCTTCACTCACAGAGATTTTTCTGGTATGCAGCAGTTTTTTTTCTGCAGCCTGTTTTAGTCTCATGAAATATGCAGAGTTAAGCTCAGTCGTTGCCTTTTACACCATCAGGGTTGTGTGACTTTGAGCTTTGTGACCCAAACCAAAGAGACGGCTTACTCAACCGTAGTACTACTCCACCTCTGTACAGGCTGAGAGCCTCGCAGTGCAGTGTGTAGCATGAAATGAGAGGTTAGTGAACTACAGAGGAGAAATGCTCTTTTTCTTGCATTTATATCCAATATGTACTAGGGATTTGGTGCAGATGTCTCAGCATGCACTTCTTATGAACTGAGCATTAAAGTCAAAGCTAGAGCTAACATATAGATCTGTTTATTGAATGTAGGATTTCCATTGAAGGTTAAGTCAGACAAGGTGAACAGGACTTCATGGGGACTTCTGTCAGCATTCAGCTCGCACATCTTTAAAAATAAATGAAGTGAATGTGAAAACACAGGGGAGGATAGTACTTTTCATGTCTGTGTCATCATTCAGGAACCCTAAGTCAAGAGTTAATTATAATATGATTAAAAGTGTACAGGTCTGCAAAATGCTCAGTGAACATATTAATGAATTTATTCTTCCTTTAAAAAAATGTCTAATGTCAAAACTTTTAAATAATAGGCATTATCAAAACTGTTTATGGTAAAGTTTGTAGGCGCAACTAAGAGACGCACTCACTAGCTTTGCTACTGTTGCATGGAATTGCAGGACAGGGTCCACTATTAAATTACTGTCCATGTTGTTTGCAGTGTTACAGTGTTGTGCAAGTACACCCTGACCTTAAAACTAAAACCTCTTGGGGAAATATTAAGCCAAAGGTTCCAACCTGGACTGAATGTACAGGGAAATGTATGACGATGTTGGAGAGATGTTTTTCACATCCTCTAAAAAAGTTAACCGCAAAAAAGAAGATGACAGAAAAAATAAAAATGGAAACAATTATTTCTGCCAAAATGTCAGCAAACAGAGGCGTCTACCCCTGATATGAACCTACACTGAACCTTTCTATGCATGACACCTGTCACAGCAAATTAAGAACATAATATTCGTCAGATTTGTTCAAATTAGCACCAAAAAAACAAACAAACGTGTAAACACTTTCCCTTTAAATTGAGATAACAGCAAACAAAATCTTTTTTTTTTTTTTTTACGACAAATACTACTAATAATAACCAATAAATAATACATATTCACCTATACAGTGAAGAAGCTAGGCTCGTCAAGGGCTGCAGTGTTGAAAATCCTATAAAGACTATGTCGTCCCGAAGGGAAATCTAGCTCATAACAAAGCACAAAACAGAATAAATTAACATGGAAAGTTAAGTTTAAAGAAGTAATTTACATGTATAGGTGACACCATGAGATCAAACTCGGGTAGAAAGCTGTGTGATGGGGTAAAAAGGAAGTGAAGAGTTGTTCATTTTGACTCAAAATAACTCTAACTTCAAGGATTTTCATGTCAGGGTGAAGCTCAGACACAGAGCTGATGTAAGACTCCAACATCCATGAGTCATCTCCATTAGGGGAGCTCCCTCCTTCCTTCCCTCCCTCCATTCCTTCTTGCTGCTATCCTCTGTCCTTTATCTACCTTAATGTGTCTCGGCACTGGTGGCAAGTACACATATTTATCTCTCACATAATGCAGAGTCACATTTACAGCGTTCGTTTCATGAGCAGAGGAACTTGTTCAGTCGGGCTGAAGTTTTAATTTCTTGCAAGACTCTCTCGATTTAATCATTTTTATTATTGTCTCAGTGTGACTTTATAACTCCTGAGCTATTGGAGGTAAACGTAAAGTTTTTACAGATGGGTTCAGACTGCGGAATATGAGCAGAAGGGGGTTTGTAAAAAAGAGACATACAGAAGAAGGAAAATTAGAAATAAAACATAGGGATGAGAAAAGAAACAGAGTGCAGAGAGAAAGAGAGAAGACAATAAAGCAAAGAAAAAAGAGACTGGAAGGAACTTTTTGACTTTGACCTTCATCTCTTTCTTTAAGCACAGCTACCATGGGACAAGCTGTCAGTCTGTGGCAATATAAAGCACTTAAAATAGAGCACAAACACAGACCTTCATACAGCTACACTTGTGAGTCTGCTCACTGTTGCAAAACATCACTAACTTTACCATTAACTCAAACCCTTAGGTCATGTCCAAGACCTCAAACCGCACTTTGAAGAGAGAGAGAGAAAGTGGCCAACATGTGCTCACTTTCATGTCTGGAACTCAGAGTGATCTTCACAATAATAGGAGGACCAAGAGTTCATATAAATTCAGCACACGAGCCACACCCCAACCCCTTAAGAATATCAAGGTAAAGGAAGTGTGATGTAACTGGCGGTATGGTCGTGCTCACTGATTTGCGGATAACACACAAACTTACAAACACACTTGATACCCCTTCTTTTTCTATACATGTCTCATGTATAATGGTACAACAAGTAAACACTGTCATACACACACACAATTCTGTCTCGAGGCAGACACACTGACAGTAGGGATTACACACTGTCTCTGAATACTAAGTGGTACTTAGCAGGATTGGCAACAGGCGCCCCGCACTGCTGCTGTGTTGCTGAACCTATTACTGTCTGTAAATACATGTACCCTTATTCAACCCCAGCCTTTCCCTGAATCACTATTTAATCACAACTCTGATCCCAAAGTAAGAAATCGTCAATGAAATACTGTTTAAAAGCAGGGCAGAGAGAGTGAAGGGTTCGAATGTTTCTTATTTTACTGACAGGACAGTGTATTATGAGGCTCCATCAGTAGCATCAAAAAAGTACAAGCATATTTTGTGGCCACAAAATAGGGAACTGTCGCCAAGAAATAGTCTCAGCTCATCTCTCCTCTCATTCATTTCACTCAGGTAATAAGTCCACGCCAATGCAACTTAAATTACCTTTGGATGGAGTCAAAAATCATCATACATGATTTATGGCACTGGTGACAATGTTGAATCCAGCTTTAAACTGCTGAGCTGTCTGTGAACAGCAGAAAGCTGGAGTTGCACCACTGCAGGATGTATTATGATCAAGTTAGAGACTTGAATAGTTAACAGACGGTTGGTATTGGTATTTAAGTTTACACATTTTAAACAGTCCTAACAAAATGACATGTGACGAGGTATTTTGTGGCCACAAATTGTCATATTTTCACATATGTCAACAGAGAGGCTCTGTTCTTTTATTTAGCATAAATTGAGGAGAAAAGGGTAATTTTATGCTAGTTATGCTTTCTTGTTACGTGTGTATATTTCAAGTGTCATGAATTGATTTGTTGTCCAAATCAATCACTGCAAAAGTTCATCTTTATAGTGAGTTATCCCAACAAAAGTTATGTCATGACACTTAACAAAAAGAGCAGATCTAGACTTTGCTGTATGTCATATAATTAAACAATCAACAATTATCTACCGTTGACCCATCATGAGCAACCAACATTGGTAGAGGAAGAGTTCCTTTAACAGGTAGAATCCTCGAACAGGACCAGACTCACTGGTGTAAGCTGTACGCCAGGTGACAGACAGACGGACAGACATAGATAGATTAGATAGATTAGATTAGATAGATTAGATAGATAGATAGATAGAGAGATAGATGAGGACTTGTTGAGTGCACCAGTTTGAAAATTTAGACAGAGAGCATCCCTTTCACTGCAACAATGATGTATTCATGCTGCAGCAACAGATCCAGTTACATAACAGGTTTCAAATGAGCTGTTAGCCAACAACACACACACCAACTCCCCCCTGCCAAAACCTCAAGGCCTCTGCTCTCACTCCCCCATTCTTTTCTCCTCTCTCTCTCTCTCTTTCTCTCTTTTTTTATTTCTTTGCTCTCCCCTACCGCCTCTCTCCCCCTCTCATTCAGCTGTATCATGATTCTGCAGCTCAACCTCTGCAGCATGACTCTACTTTCCTCTCTGCGTCTCAGTCTGCCTCTCCAGCAGGCCATTGCAAAGTCCCGGCAAAAACACTGGGATGGCTTAAAATAACTGCAGGCAGACCTATAGTACCCATTCCCACACAGTGGCATAGACTCCGGCAGTTATATTGTTTCATGATGCAGTCATTAGAGCTTCAAAGATGCCCCTGGACAAAAATAAGACAGCGGTTTAATGGAGTTTTTGGTGTAGAAAAGTTACATAAATGCCCTGTGGCGACAGACAAACTAATTTCTCACAAAAATTTCTGATGAAATTAAGTCTCTGTTTGTGATTTTGGATTTATATGAACCCAGCAGTGCCAGTGAAATTAATTTGAAAAAATTTATTCTCACTAACTTAAAATAAGGAAACAACAAAAGGATTTTTTAGAGCCAAAATGGAGGGAAGAAAGGTTTTTCTACATGAGGTTGAAAGACATGACAAAATTTAAAATCTGCTTTATTAGCATTAGCCCTTAAGTGAATCACTTCCCTCCCTTTTCAGAAACACAGAAGTTATAATCCCAGCAATTTTCTCATCCTGAGGCTGTTCTTAACCCTTTACTGGGTTTTAAAAGCATGTGATCCAAGGTGTAAAACAGCCGCAATGTACTGTACTGCCTGTCATTGAGTTAAAATAAGTACTTTTTGGGGCTGAAAGATTTTTACTTTTGGGGACTGCCATTGGATGACCCTAAAAAAAAACTAATTTTTGATAGTCTTCATTGATGTATACAACATAATGAGTTGTTCTGATGTAGCTGTTTCAGTACTTTAAGGGGATCTAACCTTTTAGTCCCACAAGTCACGATGTGATGGGTCAAGTTGTTGGTAAAGGCTTATAGGCATATGTATCAATTTAGCTGATTACATTCATCACATCAATATACCAGGTGAAGAGTGAGTACCTATGCCCTGTTGATGTACAGCTACATATTTAAGTTCATGTTTCTCTTCATCTCACAGAAAAGAGAGAGATGAACTCTGATCACTCAGTCCTCTAAAACTTCAAGCTGTCAGGCTGATTGAAATACTTTTGGAAGCTTCAGACAACACCATTTGACATTTCCTGTACAACACAGCCTTAGACTCTGTCAGTGTGGTTCATTTGAGTAGTACAAGCCTAGCAGCTTTAGTTTAATCTTCATTCTTTTGCCATTTACATGCACTGGCACTGACATTTCGGTAACTTTGTGAGCCCAGCAACTGCATCCTTGTTCATCCATCAGTAGATTAGCATTTCAGTGAGGGAATATCAAAGGGGTTGGGTCATTTTTCCTTCATACTTTCATTTGAAATGATGTCCGAAGTGTTGTTTTTTTTTTCAGAATATAACGCCTTCAGTATATTTAGTATTGAGTTTCATGTTTTTACTTTATTTAAACACCTCATTGAGGTTAAAAATCTCTTTCGCAAGAGTGTCTTGGCCAAGACAGCAGCATGTTCAACAGTTCTACACAAACACATGCAGTCATCAAACACATAGACAAGACATGAGACAAAAAAGTCTATTCCAGACAGCCAATTCCACTTGGATTGCCCATGTGAAGATAAAGCTCATGAGTCAAAACATCTGCAGCCAGACGTCTTTGCCTCCAAGTTGCTCAATATCTTCTCAAAAGTGTCCAGTGAAACCGGATCTTCAAGTTTCAAGTCTTTCTCTCAAAGTTATCTGACTGTCAGCAAATTTTAATTATGCCTTGAAATTTTGGACCAGCCCTGGAAAAGTGTCTGTTGTCTTTGTTTGAATAGAATTCATGCTTCACATTTATAATACACACAAAGAAAAACACACAGAGAGAGGAACACATCCAAGTACTGTACAACCAGTGATGACTCACATTATTTAGATTCAGGTGAGTCATCAGAGTCCAACAGAGACGACCTGGGTAGCTTTGCCAGCTTCTTTCATCCTCCCACTTCCTCCGGATAGTGTTCTGTTGACACCCAAAGGTTTCATTAAACTTCGCTGCAGAAACAATATTCATTTACTACAGTGAGAGTACAAATGTGATGAAAGCGGTGCTTACTAGGACAGATTTCAACATCAGACTTTATGTTTCAATACATCCTGAGCCTGCTGCAAAATCTGACTCATAAAGTTCTTCTGGTTGGTGTGCACAGACTCCAAAGTCACGTGTTTACTTTGTCAATCTGCCGATCTGTCACTTCAGTCTTCAGCTCATCTATTACCATCACTCTTTATAAAGCCTCTGAAAAACGCAATGAGGTTATACTTGAATGAATCAGGAGCTGTGAGTGTTCAGACTACAGAGGGCATAGCTTTAAAATACCTCAAATAATGAAGGAGGATTGAAACATAAAAAGCCAGTCAGTGAATGTGCCTCTGTGTAGGTGGAGGCAGCAGAGGAGGGAGGAGGGTTGCAGTGAAGGAGGGTGATGAGAGACTCTGCAGATTAAAGACATAACGTCACAGCGCAGAGATGGTCCAGGATATAGAAGATAGATGAACAGAGCTCAGGAAATTAACTCAACTCTGTCTCTCTATCACAGACATAATTAAAAAGCTGTTTTTGTGGAGAGAAATGTTTGCTTTCCTGAGTGTCTTGTAGATTAAGAACAGGATGGATGAAATATTCATTTTCCTTTAATAAATTAAAAGAGAACAAAAAATGCCCTGACCTAACAGCTTCAGTACAAAAGCTTATTTTCAGAGTTATGTAGCCTCCTCGAAAGAGCAGGATCACATGCATGACTCAGGTAATTGGCACCCTGGGGTAACAAGACCTAGAAGACCTAAAGGTTCACCCACTAGGAGACTGTTTGTCTCCCTGATGAATGTTTCCCTCTATAGACATGCATTAAGGTCACAGAGTTTGTGATTGTGTTGTGAAGCAGCTCTCTCGAATACAGCCTGATTTTTGTAGTGGGGAGGGGGGAAACACAGACACTGGTGAAAACAGTTACAGGGCCCTGATTCTAGTCTTCTGTTTTTCTTCTGCTGAGGTCTCGCTTACCCCGTCAGACGAGTAAAGCCGCTGACTGCAGCTTTAAATACTTAAAGACTCATCAGGAGGCCAGACCTTGTCAGCACGTGTGACGAGACAGAAAGCAAGAAAAAGACATAAACACACTCATGATGTGAGCGGTTTGCGTGTGCGAGTTAACATGTTCGACACAACATATGATCCTTCCATTTGGGTCCACAACAGCTTCCTGCAGCAACAGCACAACACAGAGATCTCCCCTGCAGGCATCGGGTCGCTTTATTTGCAAAGAAAAACATGTGTTAACGAATTTGTCTCGATGACATTGGCTCGGGGACTTATTGACAACCTACACAGGCACACGATACATGCTGACAACCGTGGCTCAGAGACAACAGGGAGTCATATAACAAGAAAGAGGATGACACACACAGATCGGAGGGAGAAGACAGCACAGAGCTTTTCATATGGCTCACAATCTAAATGTACAGAATGGAGACGAAAATATTGTTGCTTTACTGTTTGATAAAAATATCATGTCTTCATGAATCTAAGAAAACTTGGTAACGCTTTCTTTTATGGTACACTTATCACCAGCTAATTGACAGGTAATTACCTACTAACAACATGAAATTATCTGGTAATTACATGATAACTACTAAATCAATACTGTCTAGTTTTCCTTTTTTTTTCTTTTTTCTATGAAGCTCCATTTTTAAAAGCTATTTGGGGTTCTTCTTTTCTATGATTGACACTTGATACAACTTATGGGCGTGCGAAGATTGGTAATAATTATGAATTATTACAATTTCTGGCAGATAATTTAACAGACAAATTGATGTCATGCGTCTCTTAATTGCAGTTTGAGCTAGAATCAAGCTCAATAGTTTAGTTAAGAATTGTGGAACCCTCTAATTTCAGGTTTGTTGTCACACTGCTCCGACTGTGGGTATGGTCACCTATTTTTGATACAGGAAAACTGAAGGGGTCCCTGGAGTTGTTGGCCCACAGTCTTTGAGGAACATCCAACTTGGTGTCATGATCTAGACTTTAAAGTGGTGGACAGACACTTGGTGGTATAGTACTCTAAAACATCCTGTATCACAAAAGTACAAAACAATTAGCGTGGAAATACTATCTCTGCAGACCAATTCAACATGATCTATCTAGCACGACAAATGTTCAGTCCTTACACCCAAGTATTTTTTATAAAGAGATGCTTGCTTCTTTATGTAACAGATAACAAAAGGACTATTATGATCGACAGATGGTGAACTAATTTACATTTCTCGACACGAGATAAAACCTAACACCAAACTTGTAATCAGCAATTTTCAACATCTAGTGCTGTCATTTGTATTATTATATGCTTTCAAATGAGGATAATCACACTGCTACCAGATAAATGACAATTTAGGGTAATATGTGGGGCAGACCAAAAAGCTCTTGAGGTAAATGATGGGCTTGTGGCTGGAGCTCACAAAGCTGAATAACCAGTCTGATGATCAGATAGGACTTGACATCATTTATATGCTGCATTGAGGGCAAATAACAGTATAAATCAGGGGTTACGCGCCACAAAATAAGGGTTTTCATTTATCACATAGGAAAATCAGAGCGTGTGTGTGTGTGAGTGTGTGCAGTGAAGTTTCAGTGAGTGTAAGTCTGTGTACTTTGAATTGAGTGTTTATTAGGGTATTCAGTCAACAGATTTTTACCCCTTCTCCCCTCGCTGAAGCTAATTTATTTTATTGTGTAATATTATTAAAATGCAACAGATTAAAATTGATGTTACCATGTCTGTGAGGAAGACCAGGCAAAAAAAATGTGTTTTTTTAGTGCTGGCTGTCCAAACTTATTAAAAGAGCAACTTTTTTTAATTATTATTTTTATTTTTTTATTTTTAGTATTTGCACATCTGTTTGACCAGGATTGAGCATGCAATTTACAGACACTGGAGAGTAAATAATTATAACTTTTTCCTTTACACCTAACTTTCGGATATAAATATGCTTCACTTTTAGGGATTACGTGCTTGTGTGAAATATTGAGGTAGGCTATCAGTAATGAGTGTTACTCTCTGTGCAGACTGGCAACTGTGAGTGTGTGTGTGTGTGTGTGTGTGTGTGTGTGTGTGTGTGTGTGTGTGTGTGTGTGTGTGTGTGTGTGTGTGTGTGTGTGTGTGTGAGACATAACTACTGATAGAGTTTTTGCCAATCCCTTCCCCTTGGTGAAGACGATGTGGAGGGGTTTTATTTCAGTGGCTACTTAGCTGTCCTCTGAGAATCTCATATGAGAAGAGATGCTGCTGCCTCTGTCTGATAAAAACACACTGAGAGACAGAGAGAGAGAGAGAGAGACAGAGAGAGAGAGAGAGAGAGAGAAAGAATAACGAAAGAAGGAAAGAGAGAGAGAGAGAGAGAGCTACTGATGCATTGCAGATAAACTGCAGATCCTAGTGTAACTCCTCCCTGTCTTTTTTCATATCCACCCCCCCAATCCACTCTTGTTGCTCTTTTTACGCCCTGCCATCGTTCATGACATCATCAGCACCTCCAGACCTCCTACTAACATCACCCCATCCACTATCTACTTCCTGTCACACCCATGCTTACCTCTTCATTTGACCTTAAATCACCCCATCTCTCTTTAGATCCAGCAGAGCTGTGACCTCTGCAGACCGCTTCGGAGGTCGAACAGTCTAGATGTTGTTCTAGATTTAGTCAGTGATAACCATGGCATTTTACTTTTACTACAAGAACTAGTACAAGAGCTAAGTGAGGCTTTCAGCTGTACATGAAACACAACAATGGTACTTAAACCTGCCTCTTTAGAATTAGGTATACAGTCTTAAACTGATAGACGTGGATCTCATTCAATCTCAAGAAGGAATTTAATCAAAAACCCACTTACATAACCTTTATTGGTCTTATTGTATTGATATCTTATTGTATTAATCTGACTTATGTAAGAGATTCTTACATTTACCAGAGTTTTCTTACATGGGATTTGGTCTTAGCTGATAACAACATCTAAGAGCACCTTGAGGCGCAGGGTAAAATTATTAGATTTTTAGTTTTCCTTCAATCAGCACAACTTAATGGTGTATATGCTACACAATTTAAATGTTATCAGTTTTTTATTTCAATCATGCAACGTGTGGTCTAACTGCAAATGAGGATAAACTTGGCACATTTTGGAAAAAAAGAACTAGTTTTATCAGCCACCATGGACCTACAAGCATAAGATATTCACACCTCTCTCTCTCTCTCTCCACTTAATCTCAATGTCGATCAAAAAACTTCTGCCAGCTCTGTCACTCTCTGTCAGGTACACACGTCTACTTCCATCTGTGATACGCGCATGCAACTCTCAATAATGAAAGGAATGAAGTCAGATGGTTCACTCCGCTACTTTTAGGCACACTATGCTGCATGTGCTGTTCCATTATTTTGCATGGTTTTAGCCCGCTAAAAACCTCAGAATTAGAAAAACTTTTCAAAGAGGGGGTATTATGCATTTTTCCCCAGACTCTTTACTTCCTGATACCTCTCTAATAGCTTCACATGATTTTCAGATCAAAGAAAGCCTCCTGTTTCTCACATTTCTCACTGTATTTAAAAATCTTTTTTTTCAGCCTCCATAGGAAACGCTTTGTTTTAGCTGCTGCCTCTTTAAGTCCACCTCCTTGAGCCTACTCTCTTCTGATTGGCCATCTCGCCAATGCTTGACCAAGGGCAGAGCTTTATATTTTTGCCCCATCCCCTCTTGTGTGGTCAATTTGTAGAGCAGCTGAGCAGCATTAACCCGTTCCTCTGTTCTGCTCTGCACAGATGAAACACTAAGGAGCCTATTGTGATGATGCAATTACTGTAGTGAGTCTCGCATTTTCTAACAAGGTCCCATTTTGAGCAGTTTACATCTATTTTCCAAGATTGTTACAACATGAACCCCCCAATAACTTTTAAAAATGGGGCTGTGCAGAAAAAAGAGGACTTGAGCACAAACCAGTCTTACAGTAACTACATGTCAACATCACAACCAGGGGGGAGAAAAATTTATATTTTGTGTAATAAATCTCTAAAGTTTGTCCACAGCTACATAGGGATTGCTGGAGGAGACAGGTTTATGACCTATACTGCAGCATGTCACCAGAGGGTGCTGTTCTCATGGTGGCTTCACCCAGCGAGTAGGCAGACAGCGTCCATTCTATATACAGTCTAAAGTTTCACCAATTGGGATAAACAAAGTTTTCTAATTCTAGATTGATCAGATTTAAGGTCTGTGATCGGATCATCTGTCGTGTTGCTTTTGTGTTTTAGCAATAAATGCTATTAGTGGATTTTGACCAATTAGAATCAAGTATGTTTTACAGCCAGCTGATTCAATTTTACTACTGCTTCTACTTACTACTACTTACTAATACTTGTGTGAACTTTTAAGCTCTGTCTGTGCTGCCACAGCTGTGTCAAAAAGCCCTAAAAATAACTTAAAAGCTGCATCTTTGCTTTTGGGTTTCCACTTTCCACATTTACAGTCTTGATGATAAACTGTGTACAGACACCAAAAACATACCAGTGTGCAGCTGTAAAAGTCCTCAAGACAAAGACTCCTACTTCTGTGAAGGCTATTGAATAATAACTTACTTATTGTTTGTTTTAATAGACCGAACAACACCAGACTTTGAAACTACGTTATGTTTTCACAAGATGTACTGAACACAGCCATATTAACCTTTTCCCAGATCAAACCATTCATATTTCATCCTTAAAAGTTTTTATTGTCTAACTTCAGTTTGCAAAATAAGGTAAGATTGTTCATCTGCACAGCATCATAAAACCCAGCACTGGGACACTGAGGTAGAGAGGGCTGAATTACAAGTATGTAACAGATAAAGAAAGCTTAGATCCCCACATTCCCATAGTCGCAGGCAGTGTAACAACAGGGACTTCTGAGGTCATGTTTTTCACTATATATTCTGTAACCTTCAGGACATCCCGCCTGTTTATAGATTTTCACTGCCAACATGTGCATCAGCAGAGTTGTAAGAAGCTCAGGGAAAAAAAAAAAAAAAAAAGAGTTGAATCAATATACAACCAAGCTCACATGGGAGCTGAACATGCAATAAACTGACTCCTCCTTTGTCAAGACTCTGAAGTGCACACACATGCACAAAAGCAAGCATACGGGAAAAAGGCAGGGAGGCTTCAAACTGTTTGGACAGGGAGATGTGAGGCCAACATTTCTGTAACTGAATGTGACAAACTAGTGAAAAACTACTTGTGTGGGGCCACTTGAGCATTGAGGCACATTCTCAGCCTTGGATTTCTACATGTGTGTGCACTAAGATCTTTTGTGTGTTGTCAGCTCAGCGTTAGTAATGACAGAAGTAATCGTAGATGCTTATGTTGTACAGGATAGAAAAGCAGTAATGTTCTCATGGGAACAAAAGGGGGCATGGATGTGACATGGATGGGACAGAGGGGAGGTGATAAGATAACAGAGAGAGAGGGAAGGCAGGATGACAGAGGGGAGCTGGGAGTAGGCTGGAAGAAGAGGACGTGATTGCAAAGAAGGTGAGACTGTTTTTGAAAATTGTACAAAGACAGGAAGAAAATCACAGAGACGGAATAAGATGTGCAAAGCAATCAAAAGGAAGACAAAAGAAAAGTACCAAAAATTTAAAACAGTGAAAAGAGAAAAAGCAATCAAAAGAACAAAACAGAGGATGCAGAAAAAGACGAGGAGATAAGATCAGCGGTGATAAAGAGCAAAGAAAAGCAGACACTGTTCTTACTGGTCTCCTGACTAGCTCAGTATTTATGGCTGTATATGTGTCGAGTCATTCTGTCTGGCCACCTGCACTCATTCAAAAGTGTCCTTTATGTCTCCCTCAAGCTCATCCTGTCCTCATACCTGGACTATAAAACAGGATGATTGCCAGTCCTTTCCAGAACAACTTTTAAGACCATCGGCGACTATCAGCACAAAGCATATCGACAAACACCACGATGATGTAAGGAAGGTCATAGTGTGGTCAGATTCAGGCTCTTGAAATACTCCGTGAGGGGTTAAAAGAATCATAACCTTACGAAGGACAGAATATTTAAAGACCAACTTTGATGAAAATCATGTTTTTCTTGTTGTCTACATGTTCATATTGCATTTTCTGATGCTACAGGACATATCATGAGAAAAATAAGTGTGAAATCACATTTCTGAGTATTTCTGCATTCAAATCGCTGTGAATCTCTGGCAGACCCAAACGACAGGCTCAGACACAGTCAGATTTCCTATGTCACAATGCCAAGCTCCGCCCCCAGAGCCCCGCTATGCAGGCCAGACTCAGAGAAGTAGAGATTACGATCGCGGAACAAGTGTGTGCATTAACGGATTGCAATGGTCGTAACAAAAACAAAATATCGGAGTGGGACTTTAAGATAGGAAGTAAGTTTAGGTATGTAAACAACTAAGATCATGTAAGTTATAAACTGCATTTAACTTCATGTGACACTGCCAACACTAACCCCAAACCAGATAGATGAAAAACATGAGAAAAGAGAAAAACTGCTCTTATAGCTGCAATTCTACTACATTCAACACAACACTCTGCCATTTTACCCGCCCACCCTTGTTTTTGACGTCTTGGGCCAGAGCTGGGTCGGTGCCACGAATGTCTGATTTCAGATCGCCAAGAGAGACAAAAAACTGAAGAGCCTCAAAAATGACTAACATCAAAATGCTGCTAAAGGCAGATTTTTGTTCATCACAACTGAGTGTTAGTGGGTGCCCACTCACAGAATGTGGTCTCCAAATATCCTAAGTACACCCCTGTGTCTGACAGGTTGTCTGGCTGCTCCATGTCTGCCTGTTTAACTGCCTGTCTGACTCTTCATTTCTGTCTGTTTTTAAATCTTTTTACATGTGTGGATTTTTTTCAATTTGTCTGTCTCTTGGCGTCTTCACCGTCTGTCTGTTGGCATACACAGATGCCTGTCTGTCTACATGACAGACTGGCTACCTGCTTGTCTTTCTTATTGGCTGTTTCAATGCATGTCTTCCTACCTGTCCACTTGCCTTTCCTTCTGTCTCCCTGCCTGTCTCCCTGCGTACCTGTCTAACCTTCCTGTCTCATTGCCTGTCCGTCTCAAAAGCAGTTTGATTCCTTACCTGTCTCCCTACCCCTCTGTCTGTCTGCCTGTCTCCAAATCTGTCTTTTTGTCCGTCTCTGCGCCTGTGTCCCTGTCAGTCACCCTCCCTGTCTATCTACCATCCTGTCCTGACTAGGAGTCTTTTTCTTTCAGAGGTTTCTTCCTGGTAGAAGAAAGTTGTACTTTGACATTGTTGCCAATTTCTTGTTGAAAATTGAGTAACACCTCTTTGAATATAAAAAAGATTATGGATGGACCTCCAATATTTGTCAATTGTTCTAAAGTTTTGTTAAATTTAAGCTGACACTCAAAAAATATTGAGTAGTTCAACTTCACAATAAACATAAGAAACTCAATATGGTTTCATTGACGTCAGCTGCACTTGTAAAGTTTTTTACACACTTAAAAAAAGGATAATAAATAAAAACTCTTTAAGTACATTTCAGTCAGCAGAGAATCTTGTGACTGCACTGAAAGACCTTGAAACAGCAAGATGCTGCCTGAGTACATGCTTTATCTATCACTCTGTACATGAAGCCACAAGCATTGAAATGCAGCCACGTACATCATCATAATCAAATGTAAGGTCAGGCCGTCCCTGATTCTCTGTATCAGCATTAAATAACAACATAACGGTGTCCCCATAAGACCCCTGTCCAATGACCTCATACAAGGTGAGCACTCTCCCTGTACATCCAGATTACATGGACTGGTCTCTGCAGGCTCCTGGCTGGGACACACACTGGGCCTGACTGGGATGGGCTCGTATGCTTGCTGGAGCCTTTTTTTTCTGCTGCAGTGCCATTTGAAAACACTCCAACCCTTCTGCAGTGCGCTGGAGCCCAGAACTGATGTTGAATGACTCCTCTTTTTTTTTACCCAACCCACACACACACACACACACACACACCTCATTCAGCCGTTTACATCACACCACCACCGCCACCCTCGTAGGCCATCCAAAAGCACCTCAAGGTTCTGAGTGAACAGCCCAACAATGAAATATCTAAGTGTCAAACCCTGCAGCCGGCATGAAAGGGCCTCAAAAGAGAAGGCCGGGGAGCAGTCAAGGTCACTGCAGCGTCAGCAAGTGAGGTGATCGTGGGTGTGGTCTCTGGAGTGAAATTATTTATGATACGTTTTAGTGCTTAAAATAGGCTGAAACACAGACATAGAAAGAAAGTCATTGTGGCTGTCTCTCTCTCTCCCTCCCTCCCTGTCTACAGCTCTCCCTGTTTCTCTCTCTCTGTCTGCCTTTCTGTCTCAGGAGCAATCTAAAATTGGCCATGCTTGATGCATTAGCTCTGCTTGACTAGAGCTCGCAGTTGAAAGCAAATGAGGGGGGACAGGAAAATGTCGACAGGTGATTAATGGCAAATGTCCAAAGTGTTCAAAGCAGAATAAGTTCTCTTCTCACACCCTGAACCCATAAAGCTTCACTTTAGAGAGAATATAAGTCTGTAAGTAATCCGCTATAGCAAAGAAACGCGACGGATGTAAAGTCAACGTGAGCGATATCAGTTGCTGCACCTGTGCAGGAGAGTGATGAGGAATTTGACAGCTTTAAATGCATTAAGTAATGGATCCTCAGAAAGCACTAATGCAGCTGTTTTTGGTGCATTACTTCCATCGATTGGTAATCGTTTCCATTGACCTGCTTTGACCGAGGATTAGAGAGAAGCATCAAGATTGATAGGGGATCAATAACCTGTCTGTGGAGCCAACCTCAGGACAGGCAGGCAGCCCACACTGACGCTTTACTTTTCAGGGAAAATGTCCAGGAAAGTCGAAGGTTTGCGTCATAAATCTCATGTGGCTTTGTGACGAGTACAGTAAATATAGCAGGGAGGATGAGCGTCGCAGAGGGAACGTGTGGGCATAAGATGTTTACACTGATCTGTAAGGCCATCCAGTAATACAGATGAATAAATGTGATTGGTCATTAAAAGACTAGGCAGCATAAGGTGTGTTACAAAAATCACCAACAACATCATTAATCTCTTGGCAGCTCTGTAACTTTTTTATATCTTGAAGATTTTATACTGAATATCATGTGTTTGAAACTTGGATTATTTATAGTTCTAATGACATACATTTCTTAATATGCATAAGCAGTTAATTAATTGCCTTGACTGATTTGATTTCATCTTTTATTCCAGTGAACTGTACTTTTCAAGAAATCATTATATCTTCCACTATTGTCTTTGCTCTTTCTCAATCATCCAGGAAAATGTCTCAAGTATGATTTATTTTTTCTTCCAAATAATATAAAAAAGGAAATGTGAGTTCCAAAAATATGAAAATTTAAATTAATAAAAATACATTAAAAAGAAAAAGTTAAATCCTTAATTGGTCACTTCAGTAAACTCCCTTATAGTTTTTCACTAGTCAGATATTCGCTGTCCGTGGTGCTGAAACATCTAGACCGTCACAGCATTGACTGTTTCAGATCAAGTCAGATTAAGTTATGACAGGAGTTTTGAGAATTTCAATCTTTTTTGTGTGAAACAACGTAAAACAGAGAAAAGACTCAACTAAAATGAATAATGACAAATATAAAGTGTATAGCCAATTAACTGACAAGAAAAGAAGCAGGCAACATGTGTATAAAAGACAAATAAATAATCAAGAAAAATACACCGACTTTAATTTTAAAAATGATGCGTGGAATTAAGATTAATTTTAATTCAGTGAATGTAGTCGTGTGATTGTGTTTCTTTTTTGTGTGGATGGTTCATGTGTTTGGGGAGCCAGGGGGTAGAGAGAAGTAAGGAGCACAGAGAATAATAAAAAACACATCTATCTATCTATCTATCTATCTATCTATCTACCTACCTACCTACCTACCTATCTATCTATCTATCTTTCTATCTAGACTGGACGGGACCTGGGACCACTAACAGTAGCTGTGAGGGGCCCCCGCCCTCTCCTCCCCTCCCTCCATCAATGGAGGAATCAAAAGTGCTTGGACCTGCCTGTTAGCGGCAGAGCCTCTCATATATAAGGAGCAGGCGGAGGAGGACTCAGTCGCTGTGAGAGCCATACACCCCTCACCTGCACACACACACATAACACACACACTCACATACACCCTCGCCTCCACCACCTGCTCCGTCCCCCCGTCATTCCTGCTCACACCCCCACGGTAGTCTGACCGGATGAGTTACCCGGTGGACACGATAGGGAGCCCCTTCAGGAGAACTATGGAGACTAGGACCAGCTACGGCTACAGCCGCTCCGGCAGCACCCCCTCCAGCGGCTTTCGCTCCCAGTCCTGGTCCCGAGCGAGCCCCGGATCCACCATGACCACCTCCTACAAGAGGAGCGTGAACATGCCGGTGTCCCGAGCCTACAGCTCCACGGTGCTCAGCTCCGCCGACAGCGTTGATTATAACCAGACCTCTATCCTGAACGGAGACTACAAGCGATCGAACGAGAAAGAGCAACTCCAAGGGCTCAACGACCGCTTCGTTGTTTACATTGACAAGGTGCACTTCTTGGAGCAGCAGAACAAGCAGATCGAGGCGGAGATCCAGGCACTGCGGCAGAAGCAGGTGTCCCGCACCCAGCTGGGAGACCTCTATGACCAGGAGCTGCAGGAGCTGCGATCCATGCTGGAGCAGATCCACCACGAAAAGGCGCAAATCCAGCTCGACACTGACCACATCGAGGATGACATCCAGCGGCTCAGGGACCGCTTCGAGGAAGAGGCTCGCATCCGGGAGGAGACAGAGGCGATAATCCGCGTCCTGAAGAAGGACACGAGCGACTCGGAGTTGGTGAAGTCTGAGTTGGACAAGAAAGTTCAGTCGCTGCAGGATGAGATCGCCTTTATCCGCAACAACCACGAAGAAGAGGTGAGCGACCTCATCGCTCAGATCCAGGCGTCTCAGGTGACCGTGGAGAGGAAAGACCTCCAGAAGGCGGACATCACCGAAGCTCTGCGGGAGATCCGCTGCGAACTCGAGGGCCACTCCAACCAGAACCTGCAGCAAGTGGAGAACTGGTTCATGTGCCGCTTCGCCAAGCTCACCGAGGCTGCGGAGCAAAACAAGGACGCGATAAAGTCCGCCCGGGATGAGATCGCCGACTACCGCCGCCAGCTGCAGTCCAAGACGGTGGAGTTGGAGTCTGTCCGCGGGACGAGAGACTCTTTGGAGAGGCAGCTGAACGACATCGAGGACCGGCACAACAGCGATTTGGCCAGCCTCCAGGTAAGGAGTTCAGCGGCGGCCACAGAGCCGTGCGTAAAAGCTGGAGAGACCTTAGATGACCTATCCTCTCACTGAGGATATGGGATTGATTCTGCTGTTATTCAGATTTAATTGACACTTAAACTTTAAAAGTCAAAGTAAAGGTTTGATTCCGATCATGTTAAATGTATTTATCTAATATTTGATTTTATTTCAGTGATGTAGGACAGTTTTATTTGGGGTGGCAGGATTGAAAAATCACTATATAAGCTATGAGTGAAACGGATCACACTTTTTTCTCTTTTCTGGTGAAGCTTGTGTGAAAACATTTTCTGCTGCGTAACGCCTGCTATGAGCTCATCACTTTCCAAGCTTTCCAAGAGTCAGGAAAGAGTTAAAGGGGAGACACTGCAGCAGACTCTCTCTCTCTCTTTCTCTCTCTCTTGCTGAGTCAGAGGCCTGGGTCGATGCCTTTATTGGCTGTGTCCTTACATCACACCACAGAGATTCTTGGGTGGGGGCGGGGTCGTATTGACAAGTGTGGAGGCTGTCCTTGAAAGTGAGGCATTCAGAAGATCCAGAATACTGTATTGCGTCAGAATAAATCATCACAGCAACAGCTTTTGGTGCACACAGAGGAACAAATTGATCGAATAATCTCCAATGTTTAATTAGCTGCACAAAGTTTGTGAAAACATGGGTCTTTTAAATCCTGATTTTGAGAAACTTTATCAAATAATCTTCAAAAGAGAATAAAGCTTTTTGCCAGCTTATGCTTTTTTGTGTGCTCTTCTTTTTCGACAGGAAACAATTCACCAGCTGGATAATGAGCTCAAGAGCACCAAATGGGAAATGGCTCGTCATCTGCGTGAGTACCAGGACCTTCTGAATGTAAAGATGGCCCTGGACATTGAGATTGCTGCATACAGGTACAAACTGATGTGGATTAAAAAGTTTACAAATCACAATTCCTGATTTTGATGACACAGTTCCTTGTCAAATGCTCTAAATCTGATTTTCTACATCCCTAGGAAACTCCTCGAGGGCGAGGAGACCCACTTTAGCTCATTCCCTTACCGCCAAGCTGTTAGCACCAAAATCTCAAAGTCTAAATCAGACGCTCCCAAGCTGAAGGTGCAGCACAAGTTTGTGGAAGAGATCATCGAGGAAACGAGGGTAGAGGATGACAAAACCGACATCGACGAGGCTCTGGCAGAGATCGCTCAAGAGCTGTCAGCCACCCTCGGAGATGGAGGAGAGGAGGCAGAGGAGGAAGGGGAAGAGGAAGGAGAGGGAGAAGAAGCAGAGGGAGAGGGGGAGGGAGAGGAGGAGGAGGAAATCATAGCCTCCACTGACGCCAAAGTTAGCTCAAGCGCTCCCGCAAAGGAGGAAGAAGAGGAGGATGATGAGGGAAAAGGTGGTGATGAGGAAGATGAGGGGGAGGGAGAAGGCGATGAGGAGGAGGGAGAGAAGGAAGAAGAAGGCGAGGGAGAGGGAGAGGATGAGGGAGAAAAGGGCGATGATGAAGAGGGTGGTGATGAAGGAGAGGAAGGAGGAGACGGGGAGGAGGAAGTTGAGGAGACGGTGCTGTGCTCCAAAGCTCCAGAGTCTAAAGCCTCTCCCGACAAAGAGAAGGCAGGAGACAAGGAGGCGAGTGGAGGAGAGGAGGAAGCCGGTGCTGAAGAGGAGGGAGGAGACCAGGATGACGATGCAGGAAGTGACAAAGCATCCAAAAGTGGAGATGAGAAAGAGGAAAAAGAGGATGCAGATAAAGGAAAGACAGAGGAAGAGAAAGTGAAAGAGGACAAATCTGAAGAAGTTGTAGCTGCAACTGAAGCTCCAAAAACAGAATCTGCCAAACCTGAAGCCAAGAAGGAAGAACCTGCCAAGAAAGATGCATCAAAGCCCAGCTCTCCAAAGTCTGAATCACCTAAGCCTGAATCCCCCAAGTCTGAATCACCTAAGCCTGAATCCCCCAAGTCTGAGTCCCCCAAGCCTGCATCTCCCAAGGCCGAGTCCCCTAAAGCTGGCTCACCAAAAAGCGAATCCCCAAAACCAAGCTCCCCAAAACCCGAGTCTCCTAAATCTGAATCCCCTAAACCAGGATCTCCAAAAGCAGAATCCCCCAAGAAAGAGACCCCAAAATCTGAGCCTGCAAAAGCCGCAGAAGAGAAATCAGACAAGAAGAGCGACTCCACAGAAGACAAGAAGGTAGAAAAGAAGGATGTTGCGATGAATGGTGACTTAGACAAGAGCAGCCCTGAGGAGAAAGGGAAGAAAGACGAGGGGAAAGACAGCGAAGTGCTAGCTAACGGTGTGGATGAGAGCCCTGTGAAGGACGACGGCAGCCAGAAGGTGGTGATCACCAAAACTGTGGAAACGATCACCACTGGAGAGGACGGATCCAAGCATGTCACTAAATCCATTACTGTGACCGAGACCGTGAAAGAGGTGGAGGAAGTCGAGGAGGTCATGCAGGAGAAGCTGGTCTCCAGCAAGAAGACGGAGAAGCACTCCACCCAGTCTATCAAGCAGGTGACCGAGGGTGACTGAGCAGCTTCAAGGCAGCTGACCCAGCTCAGGAGGAAGAGGAGGGGGCCAGAGGAGAAGACCCGAAGACAAGCAATGAAACCCAGAACTAACATAACAAAGAAAACCATACAGCTAGAGCGACGTAATAAAGATAACCACTCTCAAACATACAAGACAAAGCATAGAGAGACGCCAAAACCTTAATGCTACAAAACTTCAAAAATGCATGTTGAGTGACAGCTTTAAATGGGCTTCGCTGCAGATGCGGTCAGGAGCAAGTGACTGAGACATTTTATCCTTTATCTGTTTCTTTCTGCAGTTCACGGGAGAGCTCACGGAGGGAGGGAGGGCGGGCGGGAGGGGGGTCTCTGCATGCTAGCTCAGGAGAGGGGAATACTTTCCTCTTGTATTTGTATGTATGGTAGATCTACACTGTAAAAAGAGTACATATGTGAAAGGAATACATGTTGTTTGGGTGGGAGAGTGAGAGTATTATTCGAGTCGAGGAGTATTTTGAGTTTAAGTCAAAGAGAGGGGACAGGCAGGTGGGAGGGTCTCACTGAAGAAGCCTTACGAGACACGTGAAGATACCAACTGAGCCAAAAAAAAAGAAACTAACAACTACACAACACACAGTGAGGAAAGAGACGAGCAGGGATATGATAGACACATGACCATATACATCCAGTAACTGAAGCAGTTAAAGCTTAACGAAACCTGAAGAAACTCCTAGCCTTAAACATGCTTTTTATCCGTGTCTGTTCTGTTTACCTGAGTGCAACTGAAAAATAAAACTGTAAATGCGCACATACATGCATTCTTGTATGCATAGGATGGACTTGAATTTAAATACAGAAATAAATGAGGTGCTACTGTTTGCAATCCCATGACTTTACTCATCATGAACGATTTCCCAGCAGCATTTGCTCAATAAATGTCATAATGAATAAAAGTGTGTGTCCTGTCATTTCATATGAACAAAAAATTTTGACTTTGCAAACTTGACATCAAGAATAGCTACATAATGTAGTTAGGTGTAAAAAAATGCAAAGCTATAGTTTCAATGACTCTCAATTTCAGAGGTGATCACATCTTTTATATTCACCATCTAATTTCTAATACCAATTTGTGGAGACATTAACATAAGGTTTATATCAAAGTAACCAAAAAGATTAACAACCCCTGTAACAATGTCCTCTGGCCCTCTCTATGGCATGAATATGCATTGATAATATAAAATCAGATGCATTCCTTGCAGTTAAATTAATATTAATATTCAAACACAGTGACTTTATCATCAGACAGGTTTAAAATGTTAATAGACCTGCACATAAAAAAATCATTTATTGATATAAAGTTATCATGCAAGAAAGCAACTTGTCTCATTTGAAAAAGTTAGTGAAAGTGACTCAATTCAGTGCCATTTGTCATTCTCTAACACTCTAAATGGATATTCAAGTTTTTAAAAATCTGTGATATATGTTTCATTGACCATGCTGAAAGGATAGTGAAGATTTATTCCTCTGCAGAACAGCTAAAGTGTTGCTGAAAGATTTGATAGATGAGCTGCTGCCTTTAGGTTTTAAATATGTGCATTTTGTTCTTTGTAAACATCATAAAGCAAAAGAAGTGGTGGCAGATGCTTGTGCTGACTAGCTGGCTGCAAAAAAAGAAAAAAGATCAGCAACAGTTTTTAAAGGGGTTTTAATACCCACACGGCAATGTGCTATATGAATGCTACAGCTGCGTGTGTTATGTAAGTGCATAATGTCTGTTTAGGAAGTTAAATAACAGAGCAGCTGCTGGGTAATGCCAGCCACAACATGGGAGACTATGGATGCTGTACTGCAGAGATAAAATTCAAACTGGTAAGAAGTAATAAACACAAGCAAGTGATACCATATAATATTTATATGGTTTGGAATATACTCTGTTCTTGTACATATCTTATTTCTTTAACACTGCTCTTTCTAAATAGTTTTATTTCTTATATTCTGCACTTCTTACCAACCTTTGCAATTTCTTATCTATTCTTATTCATTCCTATTCTCCTTTTACGAATATCTGTATTTTCAAGAGCAAGTGTGATGCTTTATTTATCACCCCCGGGCATAAATAAAGTTTTTATGATTCAGATTCAGATCCAGATTTTATCTTTGCATACAAAGTGTTGAAGGTCCCTGACACCTGCTTCAGGGAACACCTGGTACAACAAAAACAAAAACATGCTCGTGTCTCTTTTGGTCTCAAATCACTTGACCTGTGGGGCGGCTGTTGCCCAGTGGCAGAGTCGGTCATCTCCCTATCGGAAAGCTGGGGGGTTTGATCCCAAGGTTGTCCAAATACCATTTGACCTAATTTTCCGCACACAGTGATGTATGAGAGGGATAAGTCAAAAACTGATGGGCTCTTTATATAAAAGCCTCTGTGATCTAAAGACTGAGCTCACAAGACTTGATATATAAACATAGTCCATTTAAACTTCAAACCAGCCAGTTACTTATACCTCCAATAAGAGCACAGTTTAACCATGATAGGGATTAAAGCAACTGAAATACAAGACAAAAAAAATAAAGAGGCTCTAAATTTAAAAGGACAGAAAACGATCATTACCACAGTCGCCACTAAAACCTGCTGAGGAAAGAGAAAAGGGTTGCTGTTGTGTTGTAATTGTCTCAACCACTCGGACCCGGTGTCCGCACATGTGCGGGTAAGACCGTGACATGAGCCTCTCCCTCTCATCTCCAGCCTCTATCTTCACAAGGACGAGATAAAACAACAGAGTTTTCTCTGATTTTGCTACCGGGGGGTTAGAGCATGTCTAAATGTTGTGTTTTAATATTTCACTGATCTATATTAATAAGTTTTTAAGATTTTAAACACTTTTACATGTTTTAAACGCGCTGTAGACATGAGTGACTCCGGTAGAAAAGAGGAAGCTGAAGAAGCCGTCAGGTAACTTCACCCCACTATCATACATCAAAACACAGAGAACAGTCTTACCTCACTATGATGTGTATATACCCCTCCAGTTTCACAATGGTAAGCTGGTAAAGTTTCCACAGGAACAGAAAAAAGAAAAAAGTAATCCATTCTCATCATTTTCTGCGGCGAAATTCGCCGGTCAACTTTGTTTTCAGTCTTTTTTTATAAAGTTCCCCACAAACTAACTCAACAAACATTTCCTTCTGATTGAACCACAAAAATGCCAATCAAGCTGACAGAGATTTAGTCTGGCCAATCATAGCCCAAAGCTCACTGTCCGTACCTGCCCATCTATACAGCGATTGGATGAATCAATTCCGGTTTGAGCGTAGTCGATTCATTCTGCCAATGGAAAGCTCTCACACGAGGGGTTGATCCAGGTAGTCTCCACCGATTGGCTGAGATACAAGCATGCGCAGCTTTGCCGCGCAAAGTCAAGTAGCCACGGCGATGCTAAATGCTAACACTCAGGACCATACAGAAAACGGACCGGACGCACGGAGCAGCGAGTTGACTCACGTATTTTGTTGTAGTAACCATGACTACCACTACAGCTATCTTGATTAAAGCCGGACGGCTGTTAGTGTTGTTGACACCAGAGTAACGTCCTATATGTCCAAGATCATAATTTTATGAACTATATCAAAGTCATAACATCAAGCCGCAGATTCCTGGAGGGTCTAACTTTTGGATTTCCGGTAATTTGAATTTGTTAAGCAAGAAATATAATGCTAAATATTGGAGTTAAAATATGAAAAGAAAGTCCTGCACAGATTCATTACTCTATGCACATTAAAATCTAATATGGCTGTCTTGCCCAGTAACATTGTTTTAGTGGGATTTGTAATAAATTGATGCAGAGACAGTTATTAAGATATGCTATAGATTATTAAACATTGTGGGTATTGATACTAGTTCTATATTTTACAACACAATACAAAATTAAAACACCAGCCAATGACTGTTTTGGATTTGATTATATTCTAAGGAAGGATAATAAAGATGGTTATTATTTTTGTAAAGATGATGGTGATATTGGCCCTGTGAGGGCTGATGCCAAAATGATGCAGATTATGTCCAAATGCCAATAATTGGCTCAATTAATCAGCCGACCGATTCATCAATCTATCCCTCAAACTAACTTAAAGGTACCAGTGTGTAGAAATGGATGTTTGAATGTTCAGTTTTAATCACTTAAGTTTCTACAACCAAATCCTTTTACTAATACATTTATTGTACACAGCGACCACCAACAGAAAAACCATTCATCAAATCATACTTACCCTCAAACAGAAGAGAGGTAAAGACTCCAGAGACAGATAAAGAGACACATGTGGCGTTACGAGAAGTTTATTGAACCATCACATTCACTCACACTCATCAAGCTTTACATTCAACTCTTTGAAATCATCAGGAATTGTGCAACCAGACCTTCACGGACTACTCTGGATATTGGCAAGCAGGTAACCTTGATTTGTTTCTGTAAATGGCTATTGGACTGTTTCATTGAGCACCATGTTAACAAGCTGTACTGACAGGATAGTGTAGATGCCGCTACTGGTTATTGAGCTAATGGGCAGGCTGGACCGAAGTTTGCTGGTGCTACTGGCTCACTTTTTGGCCTTTGTGCTCTTGTCTTCAGCAGCTTCAGCTTTAGCTGGTTTTTCCTCCTCTTTCTCCTTTTTGGTTTCAGCTTTTTCTTCTGTTTTTGGAGCGGCCTTCTCCTTGTCTTTGTCAGATTTGGTGTCGGCTTTGTCGTCTTTCTTTGTATCAGCCTTTTCTTCCTTTTCATCGCTCTTCTTTTCTTCCTCCTTTACCTCTTTAGCTTCTACTTTGGTATCTTTCTCGTCACCAGCTTCTTGGGTTTTTCCCTCCTCTTGTGCTTCTTCTTCCTCTCCTTCTACGTCCTCCTTTTCTTCGGCATTATCTCCTTCTTCTTTGTCCTCTTTCTCTCCCTCATCTTCAGCAGCCTCAGTCACCTCTTCTTTTTGCTCCTCTTCATCACCACCTGTATCGTAGTTGAAAAAGAGTTTGGTCATACTGAAATAAACTGAGCTATAGAAAGCTTGCTAAAAACGAGAATGCACTTACCTTCTTCTCCCTCTTTAGCCTCCTCTTCTCCTTCCTTAGCCTCCTCTTCCTCACCTTTGTCACCCTCCTCCTCTCCTCCCTCTTCCTCCTCTTCTTCCCCCTTTGCCTCCTCTCCTCCCTCCTCTTCTTTCTCCTCCTCCTCTTCTTTCTCCTCCTCCTCCTCTCCTGCTTCTTCCTTTACCTCCTCCTCTGCTTCCTCCTCCTCCCCTGCCTCCTCCCCCTCCTCCTCTTCTGGAGGTGGGCTGGCCTCTGCTTGCTGGGCTTGGCTCGCAGAGATGAGACCCTCAGGGGTGCTAATGGTGGAGCTGAGCAGGCGTGATGTCATCAGGTAGGAGGCACCTGAGCTCAGGCTGGAGAGGACAGGTCGGGTGAAGGAGGGAGCAGAAACACTGTGGCTGTACAGAGAGGACACGCCCCCAACCAGACCCACATTGAAGCGGGACTCCTCCCCCTCCAGCAGCTTCCTGTACAGGTTGGAAAGAGAATGTGTTAAGTTTGGAATTGACAATGTTTTCACTTTCAACCAGATCTAAAGTGATAGATTATTGGTAAATTTGCAAATGTAACACAACCTACAAATAAGAAATCAAGTTTAAATAACCTTAGATAACTGTTTTAATACCATTAAGATAATAAGCTGTTATGCATCTACTTCAGTGTAATAGAATCAGTACTTTTAACGAATTTAGTCACTTTGATGCCCTTCAATCTTTTCCTTTTTGCCTCTTTTTCATTGTTTTTTTTTTACCTGTATGCAGCAATCTCTATGTCCAGAGCCATCTTGACATTCAGGAGGTCCTGATACTCCTTCAGGTAGCGTGCCATTTCCTGTTTGGTGCCTCTCAGCTCACCTTCCAACTCTGCGATGGTGTCCTAGATAGAAGAAAAAGTCAAGTTTCAAACATAAAGATGAAGGACACACAGCATGAGAGGAAAAGCTTAAGTGTTAAAGGTTACTGTTCAATAAGTCATGTTCTGACCTGCATAGCTGCAATCTCTGCACTCTGCTTCTCCTCCATCTCATGCAGCTGTTTCTCCAGGGACTCATTGAGGCCTCTGCATGCGTCAATCTCGAGCAGGCGGGTCTGGAGCTGGCGTCGGTACTCTCCTGCTTCGTCCTTGGAGCTCCTCACTGCATCGGTGTGCTGGGCCACAGACTCAGTCATGGATCCCACTTTTCCTCTAAACCACTCCTCTGCTGCTTGCATGTTCCTTGCTGCCAGCCTTTCATACTGGGACCGGATGTCCCTCAGAGCCCCGGAGAGGTCAGGGGTTGCAGCTTCAGATTCTACAGCTACCTGGACGCCCAGCTGGACCTGGGCCTGGAGCTCAGCCACCTCCCCCTCATGGATTCTCTTGAGGAAAGTCAGCTCCTCCAGCAGAGTTTCGATGCTCTTCTCCAGCTCAGCCTTGGCTAAAGCTGCCTGATCAGCCTCACGTCGGGCATCCATCAGCCTACCCTCGGCCTCCTCACGAGCCAAGACCTCCTGTTCATATCGACCCTGTAGGGCAGTCAAGGTCTGTTCCAGCCGCTCTCTCTGTCCAAGGGCAGCCTGCTGTTCTGCTCTGGCCTCGTCCACAGCTGCCCTCAGGGCCCGGGCCTCCTGCTCGTACAGTGCTCTCAGACGGGATGGTTCAGTGTGCCTCTGCCTCAGGAGCATCAGCTCCGCCTCCAAAGCTCGGTTCTGCTGCTCCAGCTCACGCACTCTCTCGATAAAGCCTGCAAAGCGGTCATTGAGCTCCTGTAACTGGGTGCGCTCCTGGGTGCGTACAGCCCGAAACTCTGAGCTGATCTGGGCTGCCTGACTGAGCTCCAACTCCAGGGATGAAGCTGGCAAAGATGAGGAGAGCAGCACCCGGCTGGGAGAAGAGTACTGCAGACGGGAAGAGGACACCGGGGAAGCGTGGGAAGAGTAGACAGAGTGCGTCCTTCCTCTGGTCATCATTACACGAGGGGGGGCCTCCACATACCAGCGCCTGTATGGTGAGGAGGAGTAGTAGGGGTCATATCCAATGCTACTCATGGTTGTGTGATGGGAGGACAGGTTCCTCTCCCTCTCCTCGCTGTGTATGAGAGTGTGTGTGTGTGTATGTGTGTATGTGTGTGTGTGTGGAGGTGCACGAAGGGCTCAGGTTAAAGCCTCAACTGCTTGCTGCTGCAGCAGCTCAGGCTTTTATAGCAGGATGGTGAGCTGTGACGCAAGCGCCTTCCCCCAAACTCTGACAATGCAGGCTTATAGGCTAACACTGCAACAGCAAGAAGAGATACAGAGAGGGACCATGGGAGTTTGAGAAGGAGGGAGGGAAGAGAGTGGGGGTAAACGATAGGTAAAACAAGACACCAGGGGGATGATTGCTCAGTTAGATGCTTGTCTTGTTCTTTCTCTGGCATAAAAAGAAACATTTTCTCAGGCTTAGTTTGTCAAAGTCACATAAATACCAGTGTGTTGTGGTGCAATTAAAACAAAAACATACTCAAGAATTCAAATAAATGTTCAAGTAGTAACTAAACCCGGTGCTTTCCAAATGAAAACCGCAAATAATGTAATAAATGTGCACAGAAAGAAGACATACATACATACTAAACTATACCTCCTGTTGTATCCTTACTGCAGGCGAGAGAGAGAGTGGGGAGGGCTGTCCTGGTTTAACAATCGTGACACAGCATCTCTCCATCTGGTGGCGAGCAGAACTACAGGCACGACCTCAAAAGACCTGCAGTGATTAAAAAAATCCCACCCAAACAGAAAGGTAGGAGGTTAAAGAGACAGAAAAAAACATGTTACCTTGTGGGGAAAACAAATCAATGGTAAGGAATTGAGAAATTTAAGCAGGTTTTCTAACTCAATGGTGATAAATAAGCAATAAGTAATTCATTGGTTTGTGATATTTGTATTAAATTGTTTTTTAAGTGTTTTTCTTTAACAACAAAGAATTGCCAACTAACTTGTTGACTGACTTGTTCTGCCTCAGGATGAAGACTGTATAGAAAGTCAATTATATATATTTTTTCTGAGCTTTTCACAAGCAGAAATCAAAGTTATCCTGCACAGAGGGATTTTCTATTTTTATTTCCCTAATAAGAAGTTGCTTTTGATTCGACAATGAAGAAAGGAAGCCATTTTAGAGCAAGGGTCAGAAAAACAGTGCTGCAGAGGAAAACAAAAAAAGGTTTAGGTCAACACATTTATTGTCAGACATTTATAAAAAGACAGATTCTATTCTTTTCCTTTTTTTATCAGTAAAATAAAATTTTTTAGTTTTTAAGGTAGTTTAGTTCTTTAAAAGTCCCTCTTACCAGCAGCACTGATACCTCGGCAGGTCAATTACACTGACTTGCTGACATGCATTTTCATTCCTAATGTGTCAATGAGTGTGTGTTTAGTGTGCAAAGAGAAGCACATATTCAGAAGTGCACCTTGCTTTAGAGCAGCATGCATAAATGAAGTGTCTTGCAGTGCTTTGCAGCAACATCCCTGTAGATTTTTGAGTATTTACATGATTCATCGAGTAATTCGTCTATGCAGCAAAGGCCTCGATACTAACAGCCAGCCTGCTTTTTCTGAACAGTAGTGAAGCAGGCAGTGAGAGGTGGGGGACTCCAGGGGGATCTGCATGGACTCTGCTGCAGCCTGAGTCATCGTAACAGTTGTGATCACACAAACTCCCCTGTGTACACTCTTTCCCACCCTCACAGCAGTCTGACAATCTGCACCAGGGCTGTTTTTGGCAGATGAGATGCTTGCAGGAGAAAGCAGACCATTAACATCTCTTTGCAAGCTAATTAGCTCACTAAAAGTGATGATTTAAAGGTTGCTGCTTTCTTAATGACTTCATTAATGCTCATAAAATCCCCTATTCCTTGAGGCATTAGGGCAAAACAGCAACATCGTTGTTTACAACATTCATATCCTAAGCTCACAAATTTAGTATCTGACCCACATTTGTTTTTTGTTGCCATGTAGATGAAAATAAAACATCTTTATGAGTTTGAAAGTGAAAAGTTGAAGCTGCACACTAAAACATGACACTGTGTGACATTAACAATACATAAATGAGAAAAAGTCGCTTGACTTAAAGGCACAGGAAGAGAAACTTAATAAAAATGGGCATACACTGCTATTGTCATAAATACTTTATTATCAAATAGTCCCAAACACCATACTCATAACAAAACAAAAACTACCTTTGGCCATAGAAATAGCTGTTCAGATCTGGTATAGATTCTTGTATAAATTTCACCAGACACAAAATGAATACAGCAAACGACAAAACACCATTTGCACATTATTAATATAAATCCCTGCTTTACCTGCAGACATTTACATATCATCAGCACTTTCACAGAGTGACTGCAGCTTAAAAGCACACCCTGTGTCCTTTCTTGCAGCATCATCTTAGTGAAAAAAAAACTCAGCACTCGTCAGGGTCACAAAAGTTGGGCTCTTTGCCTGGAAATCCATTTCTATCATGTATTAGGACTGTTGCATTTCATCTGTTCTCTATAAATAGATCATGATTTGATTGACAGCACCAAGAGACATTGACTTGTCTGGCAGTTCAGTTCTGTGGCTTTGCTTTCCAAGCTTCATCAGCACTTTCATCTCTCCCTCCTGTACTTCTAAGAGCATCTCTCCTTACCGATCAAACATTCAATGACAGATACCGGAGAGTATTTGGCTGTAAACACTTGTTTCAGTGGCATGGTTTATGTCAGAAAGGTAAAAAAAAAAAACTTGGCCTCGGGCCTTAAGTCACTTATTTATGTTGAACCAGTGTTTATAGTTTAAGTATGTTCTATGATTCTGAAAAAGGCTATAATTAAGTTTATACCATTAGTCTGATATTTTGGCTCAAAGGGATATTCGGTTATCGACTTGTCAGGGCTCCTCCACAAACAAGCGGCTGCTGGAGGAGAGTTGGTGAGTTGTGTTTAGTCTCTTTGCTAAAGAAATCAGGCAAAGCTAAAAAGGTGTTTGATGTCTAGTACTATGGTCACATAGTACTAGATATACTATGCTGTCACATTTAGTTTGAACACAGAATCATATTTATTAACACACTAATGCTGCACATTTGCAATCTAGTTGTCATGTGTTATTTTGTGGTGGTCTTAGTATAAGTATTTTTGTTTGTTTGTTAATCATATGTCCACTATCGCTTTAGTGACCTGCCTGGAAAAACCACATTTTGTTCAGGCAAACATAATGGGTGGATGATTAACAACAGAATTGAGTTGATTTGTGTCATCCTAAGATATTTACAAGACATCATGTACCATCCTTATCACTTTAAAGGTGGTCTGCATGAGGCTGAGAAGGAACTATTAAAATCTCAAAAAGAGTTTTTGTCTGGCATAGATAGCTCACAGATATTCCCTTCATTTTTTTAGTCTCATCAATCTCTTGAATGCACAAAAATGAAATTTTCAGCATGAATGTGGACTATTCAAGGTTTGTTGGGCTTTAGAAGAGACTGACAAAATTACTCTAATATAACCCCCTGAAAAATCTGTCATACTGGCTCAGGACTACAGTTATGGTCAGTTTAGTATCCATTTTGTTATTTGAGTTCCTTAAATTAGTAAGCATAGTCTGGAGTTCACAGGCTTCCTTAGTTTTAACTGATGAGAGTTGTTGACCTGTGTGAGCAGAAATTTGTTCATGGTATTACAATGACTCCTAGAGGTGATCCAAGGGAGTTGCATTTTAAAAAGGCCTTCAGTCCAGGATGTGACAGTGAGGCTGAACAAAGGCTCTTGTTTAGGTGTGATTTTTTTGTTTTTTGAGTCAGACAGGATCAAGCCCATCTGTGCTATGAAAATGACTGAAGACTACAGGATATGTTATCATTGTTTTACACCTTTGTTAACGTCATTTCCTGCAGCGTTACCATGCTAACTTCAGCAGTGCAAACACTGATGACATAATATAACAGAAGAAGCAGCAGCTTACAAGGTCATTTCATTGTATGATTGCTGTAGCAGCAACATGTTCAACAAGAAAAGCATGTGATTGTACGAATGTCAGCTTCTGTCAGTTCAGCTATGTTTTGGCAACATTGCTGGTGGTTTCCCCCACAGCAGAGTGAAATATGCTTGTTATTATGACACAACTAAATGTTGTATTTCCTAAACATAAAATCTCTGAGCGTGCTGCAGCTCCTGTCAGTGATGGTACTGTTCATCTCACAGAGGGGTCCCCCTCTGCAGCAAACTCTGATCTTTACACTTTTGTTCCACGGATCTCAGTTTAAAAGTCATGTTGCTATTTTGGCTTAATGTCTGACCTCTGGCCTTCCCAGCCTCCACATGCTGCAGCAGCCATGCAGAGCTCTGAGCCTATTGGCTGGGGTTGTTTGTCCATCAGAGTGTGCAGGCCCCTCACAGGTGGAATGTAAAGGGGGCTTGTCACCATCCAGGCTGTTATAAAAAGAGTTTGGTATGCGGGCTCTGGCTCACTGTTGGTCAGCCAGTGTGTGTGTGCACAACTTAGAAGGGCTGAGGGTACTGTGTTTGGTTTAAGTTGACTCCACAACACACACTGTAATCATGGCTGGTGTCCATCGTTTGGTTATTGTCCGCCACGGTGAGAGCTCCTGGAACCAGGAGAACCGTTTCTGCGGCTGGTTCGATGCTGACCTCAGTGAGAAGGGTTTGGAGGAAGCTAAACGGGGCGCCCTGGCGATCAAGGAAGCAGGCTACAAATTTGATGTGTGCTACACTTCCGTGCTGAAACGGGCTGTCAAGACCCTGTGGACCATCATGGAAGGCACAGACCAGATGTGGCTGCCTGTGATTCGTACCTGGCGCCTGAATGAGCGTCACTACGGAGGCCTCACCGGTCTCAACAAGGCTGAGACTGCTGAAAAGCACGGTGAGGAGCAGGTGAAGATCTGGCGCCGCTCCTTTGATATCCCACCTCCACCCATGGACAAAGACCACCCATACAACAAAATCATCAGTGAGGTGAGACGATGCAAACCTGAAACAACGACTCTCACTTAGTAATGATGATGCAATACCTAGCATTCATTCATTTTAAAGTACCCCAGTGTTTGCTCAACTGTTCTGGTTATGTAACAACCATAAAATGACTTTATTACTGTTGTTACTTCCTACAGTCCAGGCGCTACAAGAATCTGAAACCTGGTGAGCTCCCCACCTGTGAATCCCTTAAGGACACCATCGCCCGCGCCCTGCCTTTCTGGAATGATGTCATCGCCCCTGAAATCAAGGCGGGAAAGAATGTCATCATCGCTGCCCACGGCAACAGCCTCCGTGGCGTTGTCAAGCACTTAGAAGGTGAGCACTGCGGCCTGTGATAAGTAAAGAAGTTGAGAAAAGATTTAAGCAGAGTTTAGCGCCGCAATTTTCAAAATCTATCATCGCAAAATAGCAACAGAGGAGGCGAAAATAGCTTCCTCTGCATTTGCATACAAGGCCAGGACTCAGATAATCAGAGACGCTCCTCGCACACAGACACAGTGGTGGGTTACAGTGCATAAAAATAGCATGCTGGGACTGTAGAGCTCAGGGACGAGAAGAGGGTCAGGAGTCTGGCTCCCGTTACAGTCACGACCTTTATGTAGAAAGGTTGAACTTTTTCAAGGAGGGGCCAGACATGGAAAAGTTTCACAGAGCGTCAAGGGCAAAGCTAAATGTCAGATAAGAGAAGCAGATGTCCTACAGATGACGGGAAAATAATTTTCAATATCAACAGTTAAAAGAAAATCTGCCATGTGGATCTCTGCCAAGACTGTTACTGTATCAGTCACACTCCCTCTGTTCTGTTTGTTCATCTGCATGTCTACCTCTCCAGGTATGTCTGATGCAGCCATCATGGAGCTGAATCTGCCAACAGGAATCCCCATCGTCTATGAGCTGGATGCAAACCTGAAACCTGTTAAGCCCATGTCCTTCCTCGGTGATGAGGAAACAGTAAAGAAGGCCATGGAGGCTGTGGCTGCCCAGGGAAAAGCCAAGAAGTAAGCCTGCTCCGGAGACTGAAAAAGAGACTGTTCCTGCCCTCATCCTTCAAGATTTCCCGCCATCCATTTGTTCACCTTTGTAGTCCATTCCAACAGGGTAAATGTATAATGGCTCTCTCGGAGGCAGCCATTTTTAGAACATTAGCCCAGATCGTTGAAATTGCAGAGGGATGACCTGTCCATCAAAGCAGACTGCAGGGCGCCACGTTCGATTCAGCTGCACAACGCTCAGCCCTTTTAAATTGTGATCAAGCCCCGATGTTGAGGGCCTCACCACCCTGGCACAACCAATAAAGAGATCCTGTTTTTATGTAGGCCTGTGTCGACTTGAAATTTCTTCATCTTTATCTCTTTTCTTTCTTCAAACTACATTGTCATTCTTATCTGTTACTCCTCCAGTTTCCAATTTGGAAATCACTTGTTTCAGCAAAGAGTAAAGGTGCTGTGAAATCCAATCTGGTCGGATGAAAGGAGGGGTAAGAGAGGGAGAGGGAGAAGCAGTCTGAGAGACGAGTCAATGGGTTCGTCCTGGCAGTATTCCCATGATGCAGGAAAGAGCTTTTGGCTACAGTCAGATGATACAGAGGAGGAGGCAGAGAATAACTTCAAGCACTTCGACATTTGTTCTCGTCAGATCACCTATAGACCGGTGACAAAACACTTTGTTGTCCTTTTAATTTGCCACTAATCACCTCTTTCTCCTCTGCACTCATTAAACTTTAAGTATAGGTCTTAGAAACACACAGGTCTTGGATGTATTTGGAGGTTGTACATTTACTTAATTGGAGACCTGAGAGTTTTTATCCACAACTTTCAAACTGCACACCAAAGCACATTGGTGTTGCATCTATTATATGCTCACTTGCATCTGGGTAACAATGAATGCACTAATATAAAACAGGTATTTTATATCCTTGGTTTTAAAAAGCATAACTGGGAGGCTGGGGTCTTGTCTGTTTAACGTGGAGTAACACCACAATATCACTGGTTAGAGAATCAGTGAAAATTTGACACTAAATACGGTGAAAAAGTTCTAAACATAATGTGATGAAAATCAACTGTGTAATTATGGAGATGCTTTTGATCATTTCTAAATTGTTCAGATGCAGCCTTGGACTACCTACTTCTGTATATAAATGATTGTTCCATCATAGTGAGGACTGGGTACACTTAATTCAAAGGTACATCATCACACAGGTTTATTTTGGGAGCCTCATTTTATCATAAAACATTACACACTTTTCTCTCTTGGTGTTGGACGTAGCAATACATGACACAGCATTAGCAAAACATACAGCAACACAAATGACAGTATAACTTCATGCAGACTTCAAGCATTGTTTCAAGTCTCTTTTCTGATGTTCTTATGCCCCCTATTGGCCACTAAGAGGAACAGCAAACCATAAGAAGTCTGAAAGCAGTGCAGAGACTTTTTAAAATTTAGTTAAAAATTGGGAATGCGACAAACAGTCTCAGGATTTAAAGTCTGTGGACATGAAGTGACGGATAAGAAAAATTATTTGAGGTTGTACGCCTTGATTCATGGCTGTCCTCGATTTGTGGCTTTTATTTGACACATCACTATTACACAAAAAACTTCCCCAATATCCTTCAGGAAAAAAAGAAGACATCTGAGGTGACAGACAGCCTCCGAATCATAAATCAGATGACAAGTCTTTTCCATCAGGCACAGTCTTGAATGTTGATGGTGATGTCTGATGCAGTCAGTGTTCAAACAGGTTCAGGAGCTCAGTCATGGTTTACCTCTGAGGTGTTTTGATCATTTGCAGTTTTCGTACTTCCTTGCCTCTTGAAGGGTTTGAGGAAGTTTGGCAGTGATACTATCTTGTATGGGTTTTTCTTGTACGTGACAGCTTTGTAGGTTTCTGCTTTGGACACATCTACATACTCCGCTGCACTCGTCACATTCTTCTCAATGTTGTTGATCAGCTCGCCCTGATTCAAGAAAAAACAAATCAATGGCTGTTAAGATTTTGGGGCAGCTCATCAGAACACCTCATTACTTGTAGTTAGTAGCATTTCTGTATAAGGCAGAGATGTCTCACCTGGATCTCCAGTAGCATGGCAGTGTCAACAAATACCTCGTGAAGCTCTTTGATGCCAGACTCCAAGCAGAGGATGTCCTGATGACGAGATTCAATCTCACTCAGAGCCTGGCTTGAAATTTGAGCATTTGAGTTGATCTGTTAAAAACAAAGTGCCCCCCATTGATTGTTAACTTATCATCTTTATAGCTTTACAGTCAGTAATCTGACTGATCAACAACACAAACAAACCTAAAAAATGATAACTTTGATACTCATCTGCAAAAAAATAAATAAATAAACACATAAATAATAATAATAAACTTGGTTTAGATCATCTGCATCCTTTTTATTCCTTTGGGGTCAAAGATGAATAGTCTTAAGCATTTCTCACTTGTGTAAACTGTTATAGCTTCATTTTATACAGTATATCTAGGATTAAAAGAAACAAGCCTGGCAGCATTTATGTTCACTGGAAAAAGAAAAAGGAATGTAGACAGACTTAAACTGTAGGGAGAAATCCGGTGAAGCCTTAAGCTTGTGCTACAAAGAAGGATTTGCAGTTTGATGTGGAACTTCAGGGTCAACTCAGGGTTTTTATAATACTGTGAAAGGGATTTACTTAGGGTGACTTAGGTTGATCCTTTGTGTGCTCCAGAGCAGGTTATGTCTAAGATAAGCGATCATCTGCTGAAACACACAGCCTTCTGACTCATCAAATACCTTGACAGTGTAGCTCTTTACACTTGAAACATACTGATGAAAGTTATTTGGTTTTACTGAGATTAGCTTCAAACAGAGGCTGAAATAGGCACAGCAGGCTTTGAATAATGCTTTTATATTCATTTTTATGATCATCATTATTCCTCACCGTTTGATACCTTCAGGACTGCAGCTATTACATCTATAACTGTCACACACATCATCAGAATAAATCAAATCAGTTCAGGGAAAAACTAGGAGTTATCATCGTCTGCTTCTGATGGGAAAGTGAAATAAGAACTAACTTGTGCATTCACTGTTTTTCCTCTTTTTGCTTTGTTCTTCCTACATTTTGATACGAAAGCTGTGTTGACTGGTCTAGACTATGAGCATAATTTCTTCCTTCTTTTAAAAAAAATCATAGTTTTCTCTGAGCTTGTAAAACATGAAGATCTTCTAATGGCAGACTTGTTCATGTCAAATGACAATGGCAAACATTGCTAATCCTGCTCCTTTCATGCAGCTCTGATAAAAGTCCCTCTGGGTTGTTTCATCATGCCAATAACCACCCGGACAAACTAAACACAACCTTTGTCAGGAACAGTGAAGTCAAACAGCCAAAAAGTACCTGTGGAGGGTACACCTTGTTGTCTGAGCCTACCCAAAATATAACTTTATTTTAACATTAGCTAACTAGGCCAAATTTAAGAAGGCTACAGGTCTTTACATAATACCAAACATAAAATGAATAGCACAGTTTTACTTTCCTGGGTAAAGGGAAGATAAATAAGTTATGTGTTAAGTTAGTGACATCTTTGTTTTTGCCATTTAGAAAACAAACAAATAAACAAACAAACAAACAAACATACAAACAAACAAACAAACAAACAAACGGGTTCAGGTTTAGGCTGCTTTAGGTTTAGACTGCTGGGGCTGCTGGCACATTGAGCATCTTTCCCTCCCTCTAATCTCTTTTTGTCTGTGTCATTAACTTTGAATTATCATGTACCATTAGAATCACAAATACAGTATTTTCTAGGAATCCCTGAACTCCCTCATGCCGTGGGTTCTTCTGGATAACTGCTGCAGCTGATGTTTTGCTGCTGTGGACCTGTCTGCTTTCCTGCTGCTTTAGCTATGTGCACCACTGTCCATCTCTCTCTTTCTGCACCTCTCTCTCTTCAGTCTCAGCAGATGACTGTCGAACATGAGTCTGGTTCTGCTCAAGGTTTCTGCCTGTTAAACAACATTTTCCTCTCTGCTTTAACCTGCTAAATGCCACAAAGAATTTCGCTCATGTGGTTGAAGATGGGATGGGAGAGGGTATCAATTATTCATCTTTCACTTAATTATTGTTTTAACATTCTTATGGTCTTTAGTCAACGAAAGTTTCTCTTACATCAGAAATGAAGATGCTAAGATTGTCACGGTGCAGCATCTCCTCTAACTCTTCGTCTGTCGTCACTTTATCAACTGAAATAAAAACACAAGAATTAGGTCTTCAGATGACGGTTTAAGCAAGTTTGATCCAAAAATAATCAGTGTGCAAACTCAGATAAGAAATAATATTTATCTATCCAAATCATAAGATAACAATAAATGTGGTACTGATGGATTTCACTATCAGCTCAGCAAACAGGAACTGTGGGCTGCTGAATGGGAAAACATGTTACTATATGTATTAACTGTTGTAATTATGCCACTGTACTTCTTTGTTTCTTCTGACATAAACAGTGACGTATGCTGTTTATATAACTGTTTCATCTATTGGGAAAAAGCTAAGATGATGTATTTTCACATCATATTCTTCAAAAATACTAGAAAGAGAAAAAAACACCACACCACAAACTGTCTTGAGGATGAAGAAATTGAGGTTGTGGGCTCCCTCTTCTTAAAAATTGACGACTGCTAATATTTGAAGAACATGGTCAATAACATGAAGTCAAAGAGCAAGGAGTGAAAATTTGATGTTTTGGTTCTATTTTCCCCAGCTCACCGATCTCCAGCTGTCTCTGAATTTTAGCCTTGCATTTCTCCCTGAAGCAGATTTGAGCCTTGTGGTATCCCCTTATGACGTCAGCAAACCACCGCGTCAGATGAGCGTGCTGGTGAAAGGAAGTCAGCAGAGGTTTAAATCAGATTATCGAAGACTTTAAAATTAAATAAGTCATTTTTGCTGGTGTGAAAACAGTGAGGCCTCTATGAAATAAACAGAGTATCAGAAAAACGTCCGTTTACATCAAGCTTGACAAGAAATAAATGTGTCCAGACCTGGTTATTGTGAATTCGCTGGATTACTGAGGCACCTGTACAGTTCTCATCTACAGGAAAGTCATTCTGCATTGCTGGAGAAACACATGAGAGAAACAAACCCATTATCAATGTAAACCTTTGATTTGACTCACAACCTAATGCATTAAAGCTAAAATGCTGCTAGTCAGTCAAAGAAAGTTCTCCGGGTCATCTGTGTCCAAACACACCAGGCTTTAGTGATCACACCGGCCTTCATTTTCTATACATTTGCAAGTCAAATCCCAGGTTATGAACTGTGCTAAGTAGAGGAAGTACAGTGCTACTGCAGTGTCTTCCTCTTTCAAACAGTGATAACATACACATGCACAGTAAACACTGTTTTATTTGCACAAAACGAATCAGTGTAAACGGTGCAAAAGTACATTATGAAATTCAAGACACAATAAATCTGTACTCACATTTTAACTTGGCTCGGACCAGGTTGGCGTTCTTCTTGGTCTCATTGTTCAGCAGCTTCAGTTCTTCTTTGCTTTCTGAGAACAGCAAAACAAATTCACTTTATAGAGCAGATGTACAGCACAGATATCTACAGTGTATGTGTCTCATTAGTATCACAAGGTTAATGTTATAATGGCTACAGCTTTATCAATATCCTCTAGATTATTTAACCTTAGGAGATCGCTAAATCAGCCAAATAACATTAAATTAAATTGATCATGCAAGGTCAACCTTGGCAATAACTTCTAGAGGGGGGAGTGCCTGCAGCCCAGCGAAGGGCCATAAATGCAAAATGTCAATATCAGAGAGTAGAGACATGATAACAATAATAATAATAAAAATAATAATGATAATAATGCATCAGCTTTCATATAGCGCTTTATCAGAGACCGTCAAAGCACTTTACATTGGATACATCATTCACTCGCTCACACAGTCACACCCTGGTGGTGGTAAACTACCTTAGTAGTCACAGCTGCCCTGGGGCAGACTGACGGTATGCGCCTAAGGTCTCTCCGACCACCACCAAACATCACCCACATTCATACACCAGTGGAGGACACACTAACTGGGATCAAGGTGGGTTAAGTGTCTAGGGGTACGGGGGAATCGAACCGCCAACCTTCAGGTTATTGGACTGCTGTGGGCTTGTGAATGTGTGCAAGGATATCATGCCGAATATACAGTATGTCACCCCCTTTATAAACAAGCACCAGTTTGTTTGCCAAAGGCAGGAGGTGCGTTTGTTTTGTTTTGCTCCTGTTGCTCTGTTTATCCTCTCCAGGTTGTGTACCCTGAAGGAGGAGATAGATATTTGGCATCAGCAGCACAACAGTGAAGGCATCAAATTGCTGCTTCTCTGCCATTTGAAATTTGGTTTTGAGCCTGGGTAGAAACTCCAACATTGCACGCCAAACTTACCTCAAAACATGGCTCTGTGTGACACTTACTCTTGTCTTGGTTTGGATTGGAAAGGATGGCGCCTTGTCTCCTCTCCACCTCCTCTGCTTGATGGGAGATCTTCTCAATGAGGCTCCTAACCTCTCCCACCTACACACACAGATGTTCGTAAATAACCTGCTACAAGATATGACTTGACTCATGACAAACAAAGTCTGTTGAGTTCACCTGTTTGAAGAAATCCTCCATGTTGATTGTGCTCTCTGCTGCAGCTGTCATATCATCCCTCCGGTGCTGTTACAGCCTTTACAAAACACCATCAGTCTACGTTATCATAGAGCTTTACACACCTGCAGCTCAAAATAAACTCTCCTCTGAACGTTTCAAACACCTGCGACAGTCATACGAACTATTCAACAGTCAAAGGGCATACTATGACCCGCTTTAATGCGCTGATACTATAAACAAGCTCAATGAATTAAGTCGACCTGCATTTCCTAAAGTTGTTAGCCGACTATTAAACTAATAAACGATTACATCTGTCATACTTACCGCTTTCCTGTAACAACAAATGAGTAAAACATTTCTGAAACGTCTGTTACTTTCGGTATTAACGTAAAACTCGACCTCTACCTGTCGTGCGTCCTTTTGTCTCTCCGATTTGAGCACACCTGTGGGCGTACGTGTGGGTCACAAAGAGCGCGTTCACGCGGACGGGCGCGCTATCGTCTCAGTTAGCAAACACAGAAGCTAACTGCCACCTGTCTGTTCAAAGTAAAGGTACACAAAGCAGGTAGGAGTACTTTGAGTGTGACAAAGACTGGTAGTTGTAGCGTTTTAAGTGTTTTGGAAACGGTGGTCTGTGAATGTGAGTCACATAAAGGCTTAGACAAAGGCATGGTGGATGTCTAGCTCTAAATTTGACCATAACTCCTGGTTACGTTGGTCAGGTTTGCTCTGAGCTTGGTTGGTAGGGGAGGGAGAAGTAAGTTGAGCCACCCCCTGTTGCTTTGAAATGGTAAAAGAAATTGATCATGTGACCAAATATTTAGGAGATGGGCATCAATTCATAGAGTATGTGAAGCTTAGAAGCACATAGGTGAAGGGGTTAGACATTTATTTAAAAAAAAAAAAAAGTGAAAGTGAATTTAGTCTGTCGTAAGTTTTATTAAAATTGTGTTCAGACCAAAAAAGATCATTTTTAATTTGTTTTATACATCCAGGAGCTACAACATGAGGTCAAAACCTAGCATAAAAGTCCACCATTTTAGCTTAGAGGACTCATGAAGTCTTATAGTAGCAGGGCTCTCAAGTCTCACGCATTCAGCGTGAGACACACGCATTCCCACCTGTTCACACGCTCACACGCCACACATTGTATTTCTCACGCATTTAAATGAACATGGTGATGTCCACCAAGTTGCACCTCTTTAACTATGGAACAGGGGGAAATCAACGGAGTTTCTCCGAGAGTTCAGAAGCTGCGTGCCACGCGCAAGCCAATCAAATAAAGTATATCTACTGAACAGCCAATCAAAAAGCAGCATTGCTGTATCCGGATAGATTTTGATATCTTGCGGTTTGACTACAGAAGAAGACAGACACTTGCTGAAATAGAGCAGGTTTTTATAAGGACGAGAAAGACCCGATGATTACAGTAAGTCAGTAACCGACACATGCAGAGACCTCAACACCTCATGGCAGATAAACTCATATGATAAACTAAAGCCCTATGCTATTGCTGTTAACAGCTGCATTGATGAATTTAGCCTCAGTACAGCCATTTCCCCTCCACAAAAGCAGCATTTCTCATATATTCTTTTTAAAGTTCCGATACTCGTGACAGTGTAATGCTGATATACCAAAGGATTAAGTATCTCCATGTCTGTGAAACCTATACTAAAGTACAATTCATCTAAATGCTCCTCAGTGCTGATTTTAACAACTCTCCTCCACAACAGGTAACTTTACTACTTTATTCTTAAAGTCATTAATGACTTTATTCTCCTAAATAATAACTCTAATCTCAAAGATTTAAAAATGTTTTTTTCTTTCTTAATGTGGCCCTCATACTCCATTGTATTTATTAGATTATTATACTACCCCCCCCCCCCCCCCCCCCCCAAGGAAATCTCACTCTAAGCTTAGTTCAAAACTATAAAGTCTTATAGTAGTTCTGGGGTTACTGAGAAAGTAAAGAAGTCTGATGAGAGGATCAGAGTTTCATTTCAGATTGTTGAAATGTTTGACTTTTTCTTTCAAAAATACAGCTGTGAATGTTCTGAATCACTTAAAGACATTCTCATGTTAAAATGGCCTTTTACACAACAGCTTTTTAGCAGTTAAATGCCACAATAATGAAAAGAATTATTGTTCCAGTTGAACAGCGTATAATAGATGAAAATACTCATGAATGTGAAGAAGTGAAGAAGTACCCCATACACGGGGTAAGTTGACCATAGGAGACCACTTTTTTGGCATGCTATATTATCAAGACAGTTATGTTTACGCTCATTCTGTTGGTTTGCAGGGATGCACAACACCTTGAAATATATGCCGATACACTAGTTAAAGACAAAACTATTGACTTGATGTAAGTAAGTAAGTAAGTAAAGGTTTATTTGTATAGCGCTTTTCGCAGTATGGGTACACAAAGTACTTCAAAGTATAAAACATAAAATGATCATAAAACAGTCATTCAGTATAAAGTCGGTATAAAACACCATAAAGCATAGATCAGAAACATTAAAATCAGTATAAAATCAATAAAAACATCAGAGTTGCTACCATCACTATGCGAGAAAGCACTAACACTCAAAGTGCAAGAGCGTACATTTAAGGCCACAGGCCTATGACAGAAAGGCCTGTTTAAAAAGGTACGTTTTAAGTTGCTTTCTGATGTAGTGATCCAAAATATGAAAAATGGGTCATCTTACCCCACTCTCTTGCAAATTGTTATGGATCATATGTTCTCAGGGTCATGCTGTTTTGCTTGCTTTGCTCACTGTTCGGGTTGTGTCACTTTAAAAAATGAGGCTCTGGCCGTGTTATTGCTGACTTATTTATAGTTTGACGTTTCAAAATAGAGAAATTTCAAGAGGTTTATTTATAGAGGTAGGTGTGATCAGGGTGCAGGTAAAATCTAACCCTCTATTTAGATAAGCAGCCAATGTCCTTGACAAATAGGCTGGTTAGTCTTGAATAAACTACACCAGAGTTGTAAAAGGGTCAAATGCATTTTATTTGCAAAGATTCCTTCCCTTTGCTGCTGGGGCTTCTTTAACAGTTGATACAGCAATACTACAATAATAGCTGGAAGCTTAGGGCGTATGCAATTTCATTTTGCATGGGTGCAGCCAAATAACATTATAAACGGCTGTATCTTTGCAAATTAAGGGTATTTATTATAAGTCAATGCAAATGTGTAAGAATAAAAAACTAGTCAAACAAAATTGTACTCATTGCAGGCGCGACTCAGCTAAAATGGATTAACAATGAAAATAACATTGGCTATCATTAATGCCTGGCCCATGTAACCAACCATGATGGTCACTCAAATGGTAATCGAACTTCACAACCTACACATTAAGTGCAGTGTGAGAGCAAAAAAGTGTGAAGTGTTACCTGCTATTGAACACATCAGTGAAAATGTCTTTCTTTCCTAATCTTGGCACACTTGATGTTTTTTCACAGTCAAGGTGTCCTCTCACCTATATCCCTTCACAAAGGTGTGCATTTTTCATCAGGCACAGAGTCTGCAGAGAATTGGCTTTATCTGAAACAACAAAACCTTCCCTGGCCTTTTCACCAAGTGACACATGCAGCCTAAAAAGCTTGTGCCTCAAATCAGAGGTGCTGCTTGTCATAAATAATGAGGTGTGCGCTTGCGGGCACTGACGGGAACTTTAGTCTCTCAGTGTATCTGGTATAATACCTTTCATTAAATTTCCTTTGGTCATGAGCAAAGAAGGCTTTGGTTTGGAACTTGTCATTTTAAAGAGGCCTATGACGTGATTTGGGCAAAGTGTGATCCTCAGAAAACAAAAAGCAGCACCTCTAGTTATAGTACTGAATGAAACAACACTCATTTAAAGTTGTATGTCAGGGCCGTCCTGAAGCCAGATGGCGATTACAATAATCGAGGTGTGGTGAGGTGTTTGCTCTCTAACCGACAGTGCATGTACTTGCAGTCCCACATCTGTTCAAATGCTGTCATTTACTGCTCTCTGCTGAAGTGCAAGCTAAGAGAACAGTGCCAATGTGAGAAAATGAATGTAATAAGTCATGGATGTAAATTTTATAACTTGCCCATTTTAATAAACAAAAGCTTTAAACAGTTTAATCGTTTTTGAATTTCATGCATTTCATAAATCCTCTTTTTTTTGTTTCAGCACCGACATGGCAGCAAAGGGGCTACAGTTGTATATCATATGTGCTGTAGAAAATATGGAAATTATGACCTTTTACAGTCCACACACCATGCAGCCAGTGAGAAATTTGACACACTCATACAGTATGTGAAAGCACACACCATGCTCTGACTTCTGTAATCTTTGGTACTGATAAGAAGACCATTGCATGTCTTTGCACGGGAGCCTGAACACCCAAATTCAACATTGAAACAACCTTCCACTGACTCTATCTGTGAGCGTGAAGAGATTTACACAGATAAATAAGTGTGTTCATTTTGGTACCTCTTGTATTTTATGTATTTTTGGAGGATTTAATTTTTATTTATTTTTAATTGATGCATTTCTGTATTCCTACCACTAGAGGTAGCTTCAACACTAGAATCTGGAAAAGGTTCCCATTCTCCTTGGCCTTAAAGCCTGATGATACATTCCTGAATCAGCACTTTAGTATAATTCAATTTAGGCAGACTCAGGTTTTCTGAGAGCCCCACATTTGATAATAAGTAATGGATATTTTCCTGATGGCAGAAATGTTGTGCAATTTCAACAGATATGAAAAAAATAGATTATAGTATGCACTGGCAGCATATCAGGGGCTGTGTTTACTCTGTTTATTGAGTCAGCAAGGGTTTTAAAAATAGATTTATTTTGTGATGTTGATACTGTATAAACACAAGGAATACTACAAGGTTCAATAGTCCTATATAAAAAGGAGGATCAAACTACAAAAACAAGAGTTTCTAATGTGCTGTTTTCCATCCTTGACCATTATTAACATCCTATTTACATTCTAACTCGAACTCTGCATTAACAACACCTGCAGTGCTTTGCACAGGTACTTCTGTCATTTTTTGGCAGGTACTCTTTTCAGGCAGCAATGAGCTGCTAATCACTCATTAGCAGCCAGTTCAGTCCACAAAGACAAAACAGATGTAGCAGCCAGCTTTCTTAGCATCAAGCATCTCCCTCAAAGTCTCAACATCCAAAAGAATATGCCTCTGCAGGATAACAGGGAAGGGCTTTCAGGTTGTAACAAGCAATTGTAATGCATGAGTTGGGGAAACTCCTTCACAGAGCGAATCCCTAGTAGTGTCACTCTAAATTAGCTAAGACGGCAGAGTAGTGCCGGGCGTCCCTGCTCGCAGAACCAAAGAGACTTGTAAAAAATTCAACAGTGTTCTTAACAACAGGAACGAAGCCAAATACAGCTCATTTCTCCCAATGAAAAAATATTAACTTATCCAGGGTCTTTACATTTAGTTACCTAATTTTTCCAATATAACAGCCCTTATTGTGTTCAATTAAAGATCATTTGAATGATTATTTGTATGCAAAAAAATTTTGCTTTTCCCTATTTGATTGAAATATAGAATTTTATTTCTCTTATTGTGCCTTCTGAACTGTGCACAACAAACACATTGTGTTAAAATGCAACT